TGAAAAATTCTTTACAGGCGTGTGGCGTACTCGTTACCACGCCAGGCAGACACCTATGGGAAAAATAGATTTTTCAAATATTAACCCTTTGCACTCTCTTAGTCAAATTAATGCAAAATTTAATACAGTTTTTCTGACCCACTGTATTTCCATTTTATATAACCTAATGCGTTTTATACATATGAAATTGAATTCCGTGATTGATGCAACAGTTATCCAGTTCTTCAAATATGAACAAATTCGATTAATAAAATTACTTTGAAATGTGACGTGACAATTTTTAATGGCACCTTGAAGTCGCCATTCAAGTGGAAAGAGTTAAATAGACTATAAAGATTTGTATCTTCTTCTCGCGTGATACAGAATGTGGCAAATAAACATATTACGTGGTTAAATATAACTAAAATGCTATTGCCTATATTGTCTATTTATCATTTCAAAAATCTATTTTTTCCGCGGCTGTGACGGCAAGGGAATAAATATCTGCAAAGTTCTGCCGGACAAACTTTCCAAATGAATTTCTTATACTTTCGGTTACGAACCGGAACCGCTGTTTAGATTTCTTGGAGACCCGATCTATAATATATAACATATTCGAATAAAAGAAAGCGAGAAAGGGACTTCGAAAAAGTCACACGTCCAGGGCGAGCAAAATGGACGCGGGCGCGCTTTAGCCGGCCGGAACATGCCGGCTCTCGACTTTATTGCGAACAAAAGAATTCATTTCCAGCGTTGTACAATACGCCGCCGCTTATTATACACTTCGGCATTGTTCGAAAAAACATTTTCTTTTTTTTCCAGCCGATCGTTTCAGTCAACGACGACGACGACGCCGGTATGCCGGCGATTCCCGCCGTTCCGTCGGCCATCTTCGAATCGTACACGCGGTCGGTCGTGCAAACAATGAAAAATTATTCTGAATCAATAATACGGGTTCCTCGGTCCGGAGCTGTTTGTAATATCGATTTTCCCAACGATTTACGAGAGAGAGAGAGAGAGAGAGAGAGAGAGAGAGAGAGAGCAAGCGACAATTCCCCGTCGGGAAATTATGGTTCTCGAGTTTGCACTGGTAACCGGTCGAATAGTTTGCGTCTCCGGTGGAAAAATAACGCGTATCGAACGCGACGCGATGAATGGGCCGGGAAGAACTTTTTTATCTCGCCCACGAACGATCGTAGATAAAACGTAGGCACGCGTGACGACACGTCGGTGTGCACGCACGGCTCTCCGGACCCAATTACACCGTGGAGGAACATGTGTCACAGACGGCCGTGCCGTAAAAAGAACGCGAGCGTAGCGTTTATTGATAACAAGCAGGCGAGGAGCATCAGGAAGCGGTAATTACGAGAGGGAATTATTTATAGCCCGGATTTTCGTAGCACCTTTCGCAGGGACACGCCCGAACGGAACCCGGGACCTCCTGTTCTTTTATTCGTCGTGTATGCCTGCGCCGCGCGACCGGTTCATCCTGAGAAATTACGAAAACGCTAGAGAGTCCCGTCTAACCCAATTACAGCGAGTTTCACGGTAACGTACGAGTTCCCGGATGCTCTAGATGCACGACGATCCACCAGCAGCAGGTTCCGTAAAAAGCCGCTGCCCGCTGTCCGCGTACCGACACACAAAACCGGACGAAAAATTCGCAAAGGAACAACAAGAACTATACATAATTCGCGTGACCAACATCCCATAACCTACGACGCGTTCTCCGACGTTCGAGTTCCGTTCACGAGGCGCGAACAGTCCCGCGAAAAATGTAACCGAACGGGAAACAAGATGATGTCGAAGCTGAACCGTCCGCTGAAAAGAGAGCGTCCAGTGAAGCGCGTCTAACATTCGTTTGCGAGTGTTGCCGGGTATTTTGCGGCCGGTGAGGCATTCCATAAGAGAATGGCGGTGGAGGAGAAGGCAAGGCGGACGGACGGATGGCCGAGTCTCATGGCAAAACGAGGCATCCGCGCGGCGCGCGCGAGACTATGGGTTGCATTCCTTCTTCCTTGGCCGTGCTGCATGCGAAGTAACAAAGTTCAGCGTGCATGCGGCAACGGGCGCGGGTGGCGAGGGACGAGCACAAGGTAAACAGAAAAACGGCGAAGTGGAACGTTAAGTAAATCCAACGGCCACCGGCGAGAAAGGAAAAGGCTTCCCTCGCGGGGACAACGGTGGTTAAAGAACGTTCCGACGTGGCTTTCGTTGCGACAGGGTGGCCGGAAACTTATGCGTCAACGTCGGAAAATGTTCCAGCGATCTGTCGATCGCGATTCATTTCGACAACATTTAATACCTATTGTTCGATAAATCTAACGTTAACCCTTTGGTGGTCGAAACCATTTTAACACGATATATGTACAACGTAGCTTTGCCGACCTATGGTATTCTCCATTTTATAGAACCCGGTGCATTTTATACTAAATTCTGTGACCCATGCGATAGCTGCTGCTTTTTCGAAACGATATATAATAGTTAGTAATATATAATATATACTATAATATACTATAATATATTATAATTATAATTATTAATAATATATANCAATTACAGCGAGTTTCACGGTAACGTACGAGTTCCCGGATGCTCTAGATGCACGACGATCCACCAGCAGCAGGTTCCGTAAAAAGCCGCTGCCCGCTGTCCGCGTACCGACACACAAAACCGGACGAAAAATTCGCAAAGGAACAACAAGAACTATACATAATTCGCGTGACCAACATCCCATAACCTACGACGCGTTCTCCGACGTTCGAGTTCCGTTCACGAGGCGCGAACAGTCCCGCGAAAAATGTAACCGAACGGGAAACAAGATGATGTCGAAGCTGAACCGTCCGCTGAAAAGAGAGCGTCCAGTGAAGCGCGTCTAACATTCGTTTGCGAGTGTTGCCGGGTATTTTGCGGCCGGTGAGGCATTCCATAAGAGAATGGCGGTGGAGGAGAAGGCAAGGCGGACGGACGGATGGCCGAGTCTCATGGCAAAACGAGGCATCCGCGCGGCGCGCGCGAGACTATGGGTTGCATTCCTTCTTCCTTGGCCGTGCTGCATGCGAAGTAACAAAGTTCAGCGTGCATGCGGCAACGGGCGCGGGTGGCGAGGGACGAGCACAAGGTAAACAGAAAAACGGCGAAGTGGAACGTTAAGTAAATCCAACGGCCACCGGCGAGAAAGGAAAAGGCTTCCCTCGCGGGGACAACGGTGGTTAAAGAACGTTCCGACGTGGCTTTCGTTGCGACAGGGTGGCCGGAAACTTATGCGTCAACGTCGGAAAATGTTCCAGCGATCTGTCGATCGCGATTCATTTCGACAACATTTAATACCTATTGTTCGATAAATCTAACGTTAACCCTTTGGTGGTCGAAACCATTTTAACACGATATATGTACAACGTAGCTTTGCCGACCTATGGTATTCTCCATTTTATAGAACCCGGTGCATTTTATACTAAATTCTGTGACCCATGCGATAGCTGCTGCTTTTTCGAAACGATATATAATAGTTAGTAATATATAATATATACTATAATATACTATAATATATTATAATTATAATTATTAATAATATATATATATATATATATATATATATATATATTATATTATTATTATATATATATATACTATAATATATAGTAATATATAATAGTAATATTATAATATTATAATATATATAATATCATATAATATAATAATTTAATTCATCATATAATATATAATGTATCAACGATATATCGTTTAATACACCCACAGCGTATCGTTTAATTATGCCAACGGCGTATCGATTAATATGTCGATGAGATTGTAATAGAAGATATCGGGATTCGTTTGGACTGTCCGACGTTCGAAATATCGATTTTCCAAACGAATTTCGAAATCGCGCCTATAATCGATGATTGCACAAACGCTAAAGAGGGGTTGACACTCGAAACCACGCGGGCACGATAAATACAGTCTACCTGTTAGATCATCGCGGTTGATATGCTGCTCGGTGCACAGCCAGCCGTACGTTAAAAAAGAAGGTGTAGCGTTAACGGTAACGCGGCCACAAGAAGACGCGCGTCTTTTTATTAATACTTGACGCTAGGTCCGACTGTCCTCGGTCTCTATCGGAGTCGAACGACCAGCCTAAGGTTCTCCCGTTAATGGTCTGCCTCGCTTAACAACGGCCTGTGTTCTTTATCCCGAACGCCTTTTGTACGCGCGTTATTACGCTCGAGCTTTCTCATTGACTTCGCCTGCGAAACGCGTGCACGTGCTTCTGTCGTTCGAGGCCGTGCAGCAGCCGCTGACTGACAACGAGAGGACATCTCGCGGTTGCACGCGCCTTTTTCCTCTCGTTTCTAGAAATTCCCGAGACTTCGGTTACGAATAGAAGATTTGCTTCACGTACCGATTCATCGTCGACTCATTGATTGATAAAATTCTATGTTATATAGCTTCATCGAATCTTTAATAGATGATCGTAGGATAAGAAAACACAAAGTGACATGTTTTACGATCACAATTAAATTCCAGTTGCTCCACTTTAAATAATTATTGGCTAAATCCTATTAGTTTACAGGTTGCGAATGATTTTCTACAAAAAGACCGTCCGATTTAATCATAAATTAACAATTGTATAAAATAAAAAACCTTTGATATTCATTTCTTTGTGTTCTCTTACGCTATCGATCACTAATTAAAGATTTAATGAAACCCTGGTAGAAAATTTCGTCGATGACCATGAAAATAGGTGTTTCGTTGGACGAAACCGTGTGCCGTCGCTCGACGTCCAGAAAAGAATTTCATGGAGTTCAAGGGGTGATCGGGTACGAGGTCCGCGCCCGAAAAAGACAGACCGACGGCCGGAAGTTGAAGGAGGAAAGATCGAAGCGCAACGTTCTCTCCTGTCTACGTCGAAACGATGGGAACGTTGCGGCGTCTGGGGCTCTGTCGCGGTCGGTGACCACGAAAACCGCGCGCTCGAGACCGGTCAAACGGAATAATGAAAGAACGGCGCACTATGTACTCACTGTTTCTGGAGACGTCCAGCTCCACGAGGCTCTCGAAGTTCTGAATATGCGGCGGCAACACTCTGATCTCGTTGTCGCTCAAGCCGAGCTTCCGCAGCCTCTGCAGCCGAAAGAAGTTCTGGGGAAAAAAAATGGAAAATTCTGAATAAGCTGTTCGCCCGTTTCAGACCCGGCTTCTAGCGAGAGACACCGTTCGATTTCTTGGCTTCCGGTGCACCGACTTAACCTATTAACCACCAGTGTCCTGTTACACTGGGATCCTCGGCTTGTTTTTCTCGTCCCGATTATTCTTCACGAATGCAGCAAAAAAAAAATTAGAACGCAAATGTCGTCCACAGCGATACAAACCGATCTCAAACAAAAAAAAATGACCTAGAGTTTATTCGGAATTTCTCATATTGCGTATATACGTATACGATGTATTCTGCGTATCTCGTGTGTAGAATTTTTGAAATTCTACGCCCGCGTTTGTAGGTTAGGGGACGCTATCAATGCAGAAGCTTACGCGATTATCAAAACAGAACACTGGGCGTTAATGGGTTCGATATGACAGTTTTGTTCGAAGTGGTTTCTTAGCAGTAAGAGAGAAGAAACGGGCAAAATAGATTGAAATAAATAATTTGATGGTTAAGTTAGCAGTTGTTTGCAGGAGATCTAAAATGAGATCGACGCATCTCGGAGAGATTCGTTTTAGGATATATCGAGACAAGAGGAATCGACGTGCATAGCGATAGGATATAGGCGGTTATCGTCTGTATACAGTTGTCGAAAACCGCCTGGCTTTAGAGGGCTAATAAGAGAAGACGATTAACAAGGTTCGCAACCCTATCGAGTATGCCGTGCGCGTACCTCGACGTCGCATTATACCCGATGGAATGATACGTCATGGACACAATAGAAAGAGCAGGAGAGAACGAGAAAGAACGAAGTAGAGAAAGAAAGAGAGGGTATAATAGGACGGGAGGGGAAAGAGGAGAGAAGGTAAAAAGAAAGAAGTGAGAGATACACGGTCGTAAGACGGAAAGTTGGCATGTAGCGGTATTTGCTTACCTCGGGCAGATCACAGATGTGATTCGCGTCCAACAGAAGCTCCTCCAAGGTTCTCGAGTATCGTAAAATATCATCGGGGATGCTCGTCAGTGAACAGTGACGCTTGTCAATGTATTCCACCTGCCTGTTACACCCTTTAAACATCGGAATGCAGCGGAACATGGTATTGTGGCGGCTACCTCCAGACCCGCCAGCACATGGATCCTCCTTTCCCGCAAGTAACCGATCCGCTTCAATTTGTATATATACAGACTCTGTCCGTCCTTCCGATATTCCAACGTCTAAGGCAAGGGCCCGCTAGAATAGCCTTACTGTCGAGTCCTCTAGCGGGTCCCGGACGAAATGCTCCCCTCTCCTTTCCTCCGCAACTCCGTCATTTCAGCCGCCAAAGTATCCCTTTTCACTATCAATCACGTTGGAACAGCACCGAACATAATTATCCCGTATATACGGCACGGAGGACTTTCACGCCCTACTCGACTGCTTTAAACGCGCTCACGGCTTGTGCCTCTAAGTCTGACGTCATCACGTCCACGAACCACTGATCACCTTGCTCGAAAGCGACGCACAACAGTGAACGAATACGACGCTTCGAGCAGCCAATTCCCCACTACTTCCGTGCGTGTTAGCCGCAGAACTAAAGGAACTCTATAGAAAGGGAACCGCTGGCCCTGTGGAAGAGGGGGAACCGCCATTCAAATTGCAAGGACCCGACATTTGTTTACGTTTACATTGTCGAATACCAGAGCGTCATAAAGTTTTTGCGATTCCAGCAAATAACAAACCTGAAGGAAATAATAAGTAATTACGTCTTATGGTTATAGATGCGATATTACTGGACGATAGATTTTGTTCCTGCGCGAGCTATGACGAATGATTAATATATAAATATACTAATGCATAACCCGAATGTCTAGTATAGAAAAATACCGTAGTGCCACAAGTATGTCAACACAAATCGCAATGAGAACTAACCAATTACATATGTACTACATAAACCACAGCCAATTAGATTCAACTTCTCAACAGTGCCATCTACGACGAAACGTCTAAATTGGTATAGCTACTCGGTACACTATTTTGTTGTTAGATGGCATAGATATATTTTGTTCGAATTTGCAGCACGACACATTTGGAAATATGAAAATGAAGTTTTATAGAATTCTCGACATTAAATTTCAACTTAATCGTCATGCAATAAAAGTGTTTCTGTGAAAATTGAGATTTCTGTCACTATTTATATCGAATATGTCTTTGAAAAAAAATCATTTCCTAACCCAGTTTTGCCGTTTAACATATAACGCATGGAATCATGATGAGATGTCATGTTTAGATGACATCTGCAGAGGAAACTAAATATATATGCATATATCCACACGATTACGTTGATGATTTGAGTACCGTTATTTATGGTAAGTAGTGATTTTTTTTAAGAATTCTTTAATCAGCAAATTGTCATACAATATTTTTGGTTAATGTAAATATAAATTTTGTTTGCTGTCATTTACAGATTAATAATCTTGCAGTTTAAAATGGATATGGAATTGCTATCAAGATATTTGGAGACTTACTCTGGCAGAGACAAATTGTTGAAGACATTATCTTATATGGCCAAGTTAGCCACATTGAGTACAACGTCGAAGGAAACTGAGAAGAAGTTTAAAATACTTAGCAGTCAATTGAGTGCTTGCAGAGTAACGTTAAGGTTACTCGATGATATACCAGTGATTCACTATGCTATGTCATATGGCTGGGGAAAGAAGGTATGCTAATATTTATGAGAATGTTTTGTTTCGCTATCATTAACAGTATGTATAGATTGGTACTGTCTTTCTAGAGGCATGTAAATTTCATATGTAACAGGAGCCAGATTGGTTATTGAGATTGGCAGAGTTGTTGCAAATTGGAGTCGATATTATATTTTGTCCAGTGGAACATGTTTGTTGGGCAGCAGAACACAAACTAATTAATATCAATATTGAAAAATGGGATATTGCATCCACATGGTTTTGGATCATTTCTCTACACTTGTCATTGATTAAGTAAGTTCAAAAAATTATAAAATCAATGATTTAATATTTTCTAAAATGTGCTAATTTTTCAACAGATCCATAAGAAAATTAAAAAAGCTGAACAATCGTAAAATACAGTTTGCTGTTGCCAAACAAAGAAATAATGAATTATTAACCAGCTTTCGAATAATACTAGATATCAGTTACGCAGTAAGTTATCTACCGCCCAGTTTACTTTGGGGAGGACAATTAAAAACTTGGCAAGTTGGAGCTCTTGGAACTTTATCCTCTTTAATTAGCCTTTATCAAGCTCTAAGCAGACTAGCCGAAAGAGGAACATATTCGTAATATAAATATTTTTTATAAGATTGCTGCAAATTAGAAGCAGTTCTTATATTAATGTAAATACGGTCTTCCACTTTTGCACAGATGTTGTACAATAATTGTGAAAAGAGAAATATAGCATAAAAATTGGAAGAAATCAGTCCTCGTGGTAGTTATTTCATACACTGTAAAGTATAATTTTACATATTCCAAAGCAATACAGTTTTGTTAACATAATAAAGAACAATTTATTATTTTTCATATACTAGTTTTGTGTTACAAAGTATGCTTCAACAAGGATATATGTAATAGGAGGAAAGCTAAAGCAATACAAATTATTGATACGAGAGTCAAGCCTACTCGACTTCACGCTGATGCGTGAAATCGGATATACATATACTAATATTCGAATTATTACATATATACTACGTCTTCCTTCTTCGAGTGTTATTATTTGTAAATGATAGACTTAGGTTTTATTATTCAATAAAAAGTGAAAGAATAGGAGGCACTTCCGTATTAACATAAAAAAAATATCTTTGCTACCTATGGCGGCGATGTGATCATTGCCTCGCGATCGGTTAAATCTCTTAAAAGTTTTAAGAAAGCTTGACGTTATGCGTACCCAATAGCAGTCTTGTTTCACTTTAATAGTAGATCACCCTGTATCGCATGGTTTATCAATGATTTTAAAAATAATTTGTGTTTACCACATTCGAATAAAATCTATGGAGATTACATTAAAAGGCACGACTCATTAAAAGTTTGTAAACAAGATAGTTCCGATAAAAGAGCATTTTTTAAAATTTCCGTCGATTCATTATCCGCCGTTGATTCATTCAATTTTTTTTTAGTCTAAGAGAGTTGTCGTTTTCCTATTTAGAATTACTCTCAGGCATATAGCAAACCGATTTCTTTTTCCTTTCGTTGACTAAAAACATTATGGATATATTTCAAGCCTTCATAGAATATATATGTATATATGTGTGTTGGTATTTTGTATGTTGGTATTAAAGCACTTCATGTTAGTATTTTTTTCTTATACATATAATAACCGTATTACTTGTTCATTGCATTTGATGTAACGCGATATATTATTTGTTTGTTCCACTTTGTCGAATCAAGCTAAATTTTAATGTCTCGGAAACATGATAAGTTCACCTCGGCCGTTTATAATTTGATGAGACCAGTGTAATAGCAGATTAATGTCTGCAATTGATTATATGCATCCTCAATCATAAACCTTAATTCTATATAACAATTTCTTCTTTGGAACATTTACCAGTAATAACTTATAGTCTATAGCTATTTGATTATAGTAAAATAGGGAGGCCCTATTCTAATACATGTAATGAATTATTACTTTGAAAAACGAAGTACTAAAATTTTGATCGACCTACAGACAATGAAACTAATTGGAACACGAATCAGCGACATGATTGATTACAAAATCAGCAGAATTCGTGATTACCATGCACCTATCGATTTTTCTGGGCATAATTACATTCAATGGTTAGTACCTAGCACAAGCACACATTTGAGTAAGGTTCGAAGGATTGAAAAATGGGGATGGGTTGAAATGTTCGTCTGGAAAACCAAACATTCTTTCGAACGTTAAAAGGAACAGAATCATGAAACAGAGAAGAAAAAAGGGAAAAACGACAACATAAGTCTATCTGCAAAAAATGTGACTTTTAATTGACTCAACAAAATGATATCAAAACATCAGAAACGCGATGAGAAGACCACGAAAATCTTGCTGAAAGAAAATACATAACTTAATATCGTAACAAAAAATAAAAACAGAATCAATTCACTACAATCCGCTCCAGAATCGTAGACCGTGTACTACTCCATTTCGTCAACAGTTAAACAGTCCCTGTAAACGAAAGTTTGCGACGCTTACCGTTTTCTTCGACGAAGAATATAAATTATGAATACAGTGGCCACTTCTTTTTGGCAATACTCTTACATTGTACGATCTAACGTAAAACTACAACGACGGGCAGTATCGCCGACGAACGCCGGAATAGAATAACGTCTTACGAGGGGAAATAGGTTTGTTAGAACTCGATGAAAAGTCATCACACACATGTTCTATGAAATGAAAACGCGTTCACCGCGGAAAATAATAATAAATCGTTCGATTTAAATCCCCCTGGTTGTTTCAAAAACTACAATAATCTAATATCCCCGCATAATTTACGGTTAAGCGTAATATTTTCGCCGATGTATCATTATAGCGGCGCGTTGTATTTTACGAATGTATTTCTAAACACCACCGAACATAGCACTTGTATTATTTTTCTATCTCGATCTTATCTTTCTTTGTAGCAGTCGAGTGGCTTTCCAGTTGGTATCGCATAAAAATTATTGTCACTATAAAAGCCACAATTGAGCCCACATGAATTCAATACTAAATGCACACTCAGTTATACGCGTCTGACTGCTGCACGTATGTTGCACATCGTGCCGACGTTCGTTGTTGTTCAATGGCACAATTTCCATTATTCGCAATAAAACGATTAACACGACAACCAGTCCCTAAGTAAATGCACGAAATAAAAGTATCGTTTTCGTTGAACGTAGGTGATAACCGTGTTTTGTAAATATAGGAACTCTTCATGAAGCGCGATTTTCTCTTTTTCATTACTCTCTCTTTCTCTGAATCATCTCAATTAGTCTTTGTACCGCGGACGTGTACGATAACAACAATAATAAACAATTCGTTTGAATCTTTTTGCCGATCAGCTGGTATAGCCGGTATTTCTCTGCTTGGTATATCGTCAAACCAACCGCCTGCAGCCCAGCGATTAAAACTAAGTTTGCACCCTGTCAGTAAGTCAGCTAGCGCGACGTCCGTGCGAAAACAAATAGTCAAAAAAGAAAAAGAATTTGAGTATGATATCGCGAAAGGGAAACTTTGGTAAACTGTACTTAAATCGCGGCGTTGTTCATCAGTGCACGGTGGTACTCTGGGAAGTTAAAGGATGGCGACAATCCGACCACATGATGAGTCTTTGAGTCACGCATCAACGGCTCGTGATGCCACATTGTTTCCATCCAGTGCTGCCATTGCCAGCAGATACGGCAAAAGTGCCGCAAGCACATCTTGAATCAATCAATATTGTTCAAGCAATCATAATAGTACCATAATGTATACAAATTATTAATATTAAGTTAGGAAATAGTAATAATAGATTCTCTTACCGCATCACGACAGAAATAAGGCCCCTGCTGCACTGAACATTCAGAGCACATGGAATCTTCAAGATACGGATCAACTTGTACCTGGTGAAGATAGTTATCGTTAAAAGATCTTAACATATTTTCTTATTTTGCAGAATCATACGAACCTTCTTCGTGAATTTCGGGGTTTTTATCTCAACAAAGGCCGTTGCGACTGCTTTCATGTACGAATGCTTTGTCTTAAATGTAACGCGACCGGATCCTATTGGATATTTATGTTTGTCAGTATCAATACCTAAAATAAAAATACAGATTTAATAAGTAAATTGTGAAAATGAATGATGACATAGAATCTTTACCTGCATAAATAACTCCATGGAACAAATCATCCATAATCTTTGCTAAGTCACTAGCAGTTAGCATGCCATGAAGTGCGCCAACATATACTGTTCTATCAGGGTCAAGCTTATGCGATCTGGATCTCACATAATTACTGTATTCGAAGGCCCAAGGTATTACTTGTACCTATGTTACAATGATTGTAGAAGGATTACAAGAATCATAACGGAAGTAACGAATAGCACTAACAGATACACACCTCTTTTGCTTTCATTCGTTTTGATGATACCTTGTAATACCAACTACCTCCATTGGTAAAATCATGTGTACAACATTGCAACAGGTTTCTCACCTATGAGGAGAAATTTCTCATTAAAATTCAAAGATGCGTATATTTGATTTTTAAGGCTTAAGGAACGTTTTTGAATTACCTGTTTTTCAGACTCAAATATGATATATACGTGTCCTTTGGGTTGCGGTGCGGATTGATCTTTTCCTGGCCAATCTACGCGTACCTGGCCGAACTGCTTGAAAGTGGCGATTAAGAGAGATTCCGTGATGTCCCATGGTACACCCCCAAGAAATACTTTCGACGAGTAACCCGAGTGATACTGAGTGCGTGGTGGCAACACACCTCTCCAGGTGCATGTTGGATTACACAATGCTGAAACAACATCTATGTTACAACAAGATAAACTTATTCAACTAATTAATATCTTATTTAATCAGTTATTTATTCTCTCTCTCTATATATATATACCAGCAGCGTTTTGATGAGATCGTACCACGCGATCCGCAGCGTAGCGCGGATCTAAATCGTAACGATTTACAAAGTACTTTCTCATTCGCTGTAACGCAATCGCTCTGTTCTTCTCTAGTACATCCTCCGGTGACATTCGCGAGACCAGCGACTGAGAGTAGTATCCCGGTGAGTTCACCGACTGACAATTCTGTTAAAAGATTTTGTCCAATCAAATCAACATCGACAAAACTGTACGATTTAAAACATAAAAATGGAGGTCATCTTTGACAAAGGACTACCATGATGTCAGACAGAGAACCATCCATGCTGCTTACGCCACTGGTTTCCGAATCCGCAGGTGAATTTGATCTGGAACCGTTGCACTTTAACCCATGACCATAATCGAATGTAGGACTGCCGCAGTCGCTAGAAATAAAAGAAAAATAATTAATACTTATTCTATTATAATCACAATCACTTAAATATCAGCTGAGAATACCTGTAGGGAGTAGACCCACGAATGGGCCTTCCAAAGTAAGGAGATTGAATGGGGGATGTAGGAGAACCTATGTGCTGCATAGATCCTCGACTTGTCGGTGATGTTGCCGTCTGATTATTGTTATTGTTATTCGTAGAAGTGAATGAATAGGGATTTGAGTACAGACTACTTGTGGTACTGGGGCTGCTGGGTGTGGCGATAGAGCTCGGCGAACTTGGGACGTCCAACATCGATGAGTTTGAATAGAGACTGTTCGTGTCCTCGCACTGTGTTAACAGAAATCAAAATTATTAGCCGCAATTTATCTAGAGTCTTCGTGCAATCGTACAAACACCGGACAGAAGAGAAAAGGGTTTCGATTCGATCTATCTTCACCCGAAAGTAAGTTTCCCGAAGGACAGGTCCAATTTATTCGACGAAAGGACAGGATCCTTTTAGGGTGTTTCTTTCCACGAAACTCGCAACACTGTAGTTGGACCGTGTCCAAGGCAATGTTGCAAAATAAGGGGGTATAGAAACACAGGGCACGATTACAAGTTCACAGGGAGAGGTCGTAGGCCGTCGAGCGAGCCGAAAAAAAGGGTATGAGGCGGCGAGAAAAGTGAGGGGGCCGTGATAGAGCCGTTTGGCTCGGGCTTGTAAATTCTTTGGCCATCCTGGAATCCGGGTCGCAGTAACGCGGCCCGCTATGCGTAATTTATTTTGCCGAACGTATTATACGTCGCTTCTAACACGCGGGTTTCGACGTCCCGTCGGCCCTTTATGTACAGACGCATCCAGCAAATGGTGAGGGTAATAACGTTAAAGGCGTCGAGAAGAGCCTGATAAAATGTCCATTAAACCGTCTGGTCGATAAGCCGCGGCTTTCGCATGCTGTTCTCCTACTACTACCGCGGAATCAGCGCAGATTATTCTACTGAAAAAAATCCTACTTTCAAACGGCATCGTTCGCTTCCAGTAATCCACTTACAATGAACGTTTCAACTATTATATAAGCTTTTAAACAAATCCTCAACACAGAACTTTGTCTGACCGTTTACAGAAAATTGAACAATCAGGACCGGCGACATACAAACTATTTAATTTCAGTTTTAACGACAATTTTCCGGTTGCCGGAAACGCTTATCCCGGAGAAAATTTGTAAAGACGTCTGTCGCGGTTACATGAATAGGAGAGAAAGAGAGAGAGATAGAGAGTCAGAGAACAGCCCCAAGAGCTTATCGAGGGCAGAGTGCACGTATCGCGATCCGTTATCGTTACATGTGCTATCATAAATTGATGTTAGGCCCTCGCCGCAACAAATATATTGAAAATCGATACACCCGGTAGCCGGGCGGTCTATTGTGACAAAAAAATTAGCCGCGACTGGCTGACTAAAGGAACCTCGAGGAGCAGTTGGAGTCGCTCCAATGAGGATAATCATTGTTCTGGTTATTGCATTGGCAGCAGGCAGATGTTTCATAATACTGCCTCTGCTTCGACGGTCGCGATTTTCCCTAACACGTGACCGCCGCTAACATTACAACAACATTAACATTATATGTTCGCGATAACAATTAATTGTGTACAATTAAGTATATTAGCCATGTTTTTGGTTGTCTGCACAAGGGTTGGTATCGAAGGTCCACAGGGATGAAGAAAATGAGAGAAAAAGAAAAAGAGGAGAGAACATTCCAAAGAAGAGCCAGGGTAACAGATTCCTGGGAAGTGTGGCCGGGAATAACAAACCTGATTGACCTAAATGAGAAAGTTACAGGAATTTGAGAGAAGGCCTGTGATCTGGTATAAATACATATACGAATTAAAAGTGCCATTACCTGGTAGTGTTGAGAAGATCCTGGACTGCGATTCTGGTGCTGATGATTCCGAAAACCAGGTGACCCGGACGTCGATTGGTTGTTCATGAACGAAGGTATCCCGAGTCCTTGGGACAATCCCCAAGGCATTCCAAGTCCAAACAGATCCGTGATCGACATGTCTGCTGGCGTGGATGCGAAAAGGCGGAAGATAATATCAGCGTTTACAAAAGTCACAGAAAAAACGAAACGAGCGAGGATTGTCCGCTAATAAATGACGATCGGGTTCGCTCATCAGTTTCGAATTGAAGCAGGAGAGAGTTCAGAACGCATTTCAAATCATCCACCGGGTGTCCGCCGAAATAGGACAGTTATGGAAACGCCGATTGACTTTGAAATCGACCGACTAACGCGCGACTGCACGAAACGTGTAGAGGAGGAAAGAGAAATTTTTACCATTAACGTTGTTGCTCTTATTCGTGTCCTGGGAGTATCCTTGAAAGCTGGCTGGGGATGGCAGGTCCAGTAACAAGTTGCTGATCGATTGAAACTTATTCAGCTTCTCCCGTTCACGGTCGCGATCCCATTGCTGTTGCATCTTGTCACGATTCAATTGCTCCCTGTCGTGTAGCTGGTGCTGTAACTGGTCCCTGTCCCATGGATGCTGCAACTGGTCCCTGTCCCATGGTTGATGCACATGGTCCTGATCGTGGGGCGTTTGCAGCTTCTGCCCGTGAGACGACTGTTCATTTCGGCCGGATAAATCCGCTACTTTCGCACCGCCAATCTGCGCCTGCTAATAAACGAAGCAATCGATAAGAAATCGTCGTTAACCGATAAGAATGATTTTTCTCCATCGATTCAACTGTTGGATCCTCTACGAAATGCATTTGTATCGTAACATTACTTACGAGATTCATATCTATGTCGCGTTTATCGTGAAACCGGGCAAAACGATTGTTTACTTGAATACTACGCATAAAATAGCCGATAGCGTGTTAAATTTCTTCATGAACACGGAACTCGCGAACTGAAATTTCCATAGACATTCCTAATATTAACATCGAACGAGTTCGATTGCATCAGAATAAGAATAACATGCTTGTGATTCGATACGCGACGATAATATACAAAACTCTGTTTCATTAAAGTCGTCGATGTTATTTGAATCTCATGTACTGCACGGAAACGACCAACCACTGTTCAAACCCTTCGTTCCTGTTCGTCACGGCAACGGAACTTGGGAGCGTGGTTTCCGGTAAACACGAAAGAAAATTTGAAAAGCCAGGCGACAACACGCGCGGCGCCAATGCACCAATGAAAGAATTGATCAAACCGAAAGATTGACAATTAATGATAATTCGATGCTAATCACCTACCGCTGGTATGTTCCTCGTTGAGCACATCGCTGCGAGTAGAACCAACAGACTGAGCTCTCGTCAAGAGCTTTCGGTACAGAACAACGAAAACAGGAGACTGAAGGACGCCACTCCCAGCTCGCGTTCGTGGAATTCGGAAAAAAAATTTTGCAGGGTCGAAGTAAGATATCAAGGCATTCAGGGGACCCAACAGGAATTCGAAACTTCGTGGAATTCAACGCCATCGAATTCGAACGCGATCATCGCTAAGGACGTCTCCCGGACGCACGCAACACACGGTTTCGGGGTGAAATTCAATTCCCGGTAGTAAATAGTAAATAACCTGTTTTACAATATTTGAAATTTACCGTGCAACTGTGAAAATTAAATTTGTAATTCGAAATACCGAATTAAAAGATTTCATTTTGTACTTTCGATTATTCAAATTAAAACGATATCTCGATCGTATAGCGACAGCGACCGAGATGCTTTAATAATATTTGAAATACTTCGTCTCGAAATTTCGCCCGGCTCTGGCAACACATTGTAACGTTCTATAGGTGAACGTTGCGTCTCATGCTAATACAGATCTGTCTTTCTCGCTCCCTCTGTCGACAACGTATATTACAATGTAATCATCATTCGCGTTCCGATTGATTTATGCTAGTAAATACATTTTCATAAAAATTGTTAGAAAGGGAATAGAATATTTGTACGCCGATATCGATTACATCTGAACCTAAATTTTACGAATATTAGGGATGACACGCGTTTGTTTCCCGATGTAACCCTTTGAGTCATCGAATTATGCGTGGGTTACACCGATATCGATTGTCCTTACTAAAGTCCTCGACATATAACTCAAGACGACGTATACATATATGTATATGTATATATGTATACATACGTAGTGTGTACACGTCAATAAAGATTTCGAGAAAATTCAAATTCAAGACATAGGTACATATTGCTATTAATGTTAACCGACATGATTACACGAATAAATCCTTTTTCTATGGAAGAATACTATATACTGTGCTAATAACAGAATATTTGGAATTCAATATATAATATAAGGTACTGTTACCATTTTTATATTCCTGGTACGAATGCTACAGTGTTTTTTTAGTTACAATATCGTACAACCGGAGAAAAAAGTTTCTCCACACCATTCACAAAAATGATTTCGGCCACATTGTAAGAATTTACTTTGTACGAAAACAGTATAGCCTCAGGTACGTAAATCGATGTATTTAAAATTGTATCGTTGATCGAAAACAGAAGTCAGCACGTTAGAGAGTATCGTATTGCCCTGTAGACTCGCGTTGTTGCGTTACATCGTAACGCGGATTACATTAGTAGTAGTAGAATCGAAAACGAAAAAAATTCAAATGCAACAAATCTTTGCTTTATCCCTCCTTGCCCGATACGAGATAGATGATAAAGGGGTAAGGGCGATTTCAGAGGGCGCAGCGCACATATATAATCATATACGTATATACATATATATGTACAGATATATAATATATAGATAAAGGGCAGGTCTATCGGTGTACGAAACGCAACGTGTTTTGCACGTGGACGCGTTGCGGTTCAAACGTACGATTCCCGTGTTTATTTACACGTGAGGACACACGACATTCCATCGTATCCGACATATACTTTACACCGTTGTTTCCCCGGTTCGAAACAGCATCATGGCAAATGAAATTGCAAAGTAGGTTAACGATCGACCGCACTAGGACTCGAAAAACAGCGGCCACGAGAAAATTGACACTCGCTCGAAGCACACGGCAGACAGGTTGCTGGAGGATCGAGTAACTTTAAAAAAAAAAAAATGAACAACTTACTGATTGCATTAACATGGGCATGCTGATCCTCCGTTGAACTACACTGACTCCTTCAATTGTTCGAGTCGACGTTCCTTGGACACGTTTTCGATGTATGCACAGATTCGAATGATTCTCGGAAGGGTTACGCGAATTTCAAACGACCAGCGAATTATCTTGTTACATTAAACGTTCCTTTCTGTCTACTCGATGATGATCCCGCCGGGTTCTCGTTCATTCGCCGGGGGATGCCTTTTGTATCGGTTCAACTCCCAGAATCGCCCATTTATAATCGATTGAATTAGTTCTATCGGAAATGAAAACTTTTTTCCTCTTGGTCTCCTCGATTTTAACGTTGATGCAGCAACGATGGAGACGAAACGCCCATTCTTCTCCACGTTGCTCCACACAGCGGACTGAATTGAATTGTCCTCCCATTTTCGACAACGAATCCTATCTTCGATAAACGCCGGCGCGGATCGCGACGCACCCTTGTGGAATTTTATATAGTACTCGTAACAAATACATAGAAATTCGAATTTATTCGTACATTATTAGCCGACAATAAACATGTTCTTCTGGCCAACTACTTAACAATTCTTTAAAAATCAAAGATTAATATTGGAAAATTTTGATTCGTAATTGAGAAAAATTATCTGAAACAATATGATTCGATAACGTCTTTTAAGGTTGTTATTAAAAGATACTAGCATGAGCAATTACATTGTGCTACACATTACATTATAAAAAATAAAATACCTATACAAATGTAATAATTAAAGTATGGATACACATACAGTATAATATAGTTATACACATACAGTATAACAAGGACATTATCTGAGGAAAAAGAACCGTGTTTCAAGCAAATTTATTGCTTTATTATGTAGATAAATCAATTTAAAGGATAAAAAAACTTGTTTATTTTATTTATATTCTATGTGCGCCGTAGACGGGTCTAACATCTCAACTTCCGAGCTAATATCACTAGAATAATTCACTACTACGTCTCGTGAATTGCTTTCCTCCTTGTCAGCGGCATTATCTTCAGCTTTGCCCGAATCCTCCCCCCATCCAGAAAACAAATTTACTCGTAATTTATCGATATCTTGATTACCTGGCTCGGTTAAGGTGTTTGTCGTATCCAAAGCCTCTGTAGTTTCTGCATCTCGAAGTCTGATTTCTCGCAATGTGTATTTCGGAATACTGACGCGTGCGTCTGCAAAATAATAATCGTAATGAAATAATTTAATTAAAGTTCTTATGAAGATCGGGTAACCAGTATTGTATTCTACTAGGGTATGGAGGTGATTCCTCTATCAGCTGTTCCATAACATATGTTAGCATGGTTGTAATAAAAGTGTCGTTTCTTTTGAGGCCCAGTGCTCGATGAAAAGCATCAACAGCTCCTTGGGCGTTTCCCATCAAGGCGTGATTGAAACCTATCGCTGAATACGTTGATGGATTCAGTGGATTCAATACCAATGCCTACGATAATGAAATAGAAGTTCTTTTAAACAACCTATGCAAATCGCCTTCGAATTTTACATTCAAATCGAAATTGTTTCACCTGCTGATGATATTCTAAAGCTTCTTCGTATTTCTTCATTTTCCTACAAGTGTGACCCAAATTATTCAGAAGTGCCTCCCATTTGCTAGGCAGAATAACATCCTTTAGACCTCCTTGAATTCTTTTAATGGCTTCCTTAAACTGTCGTTCCGCAGTCTTGTAACTGTATTCGATGAAACGACAACTCTTGATAAATTAGGTAGATTTCCAAAACCGTGGAAGGGTGGAAGTACACTAATCAGGTTTCAGAGGAAGTTTTGAACTTCTCTACGTATCAGAGTAACCTTTTGTGAATAATATGATAACGAATATAGTGTTACTTACTCTAGATTGTAAAAAGATAAAACTCCCATCTCGTGTATAACAAACGGATCATTGGGGGCTATGCCCTGAGCCTGCCGGAAAAACTTGTCAGCCAGTCTAAGATTATTCGTTAAGCCACATTCAAGTCCAATGTATAAAAGCGGCAGATGACAACCTTTCATTAATTGCGATGCTTTAAAGTAAGCAGCCATTGCGTGATCATGTTCACTTTCTACTGCAAAAGAGTGTCCATAGGCCAGCCAAGCAGGACCAAATAGCCTGTCCAAAGCGGTTGCTTTTGCCAAGTATCTTCTCGCAGGATCACTTTTATCTGCAATAGAAACATTTTTATAAAAGCTGTTTTCCTCAACGATTGAAGTTACTCTCTATTAATTTACCTATACTGTAATAATAACATCCAACTGCAAACCATGCTAAAGCCATGTCTGGATACAAGTCAACCAATTTATGTGCCAAATAAAATAAAGCTGAAAATTGAATAACATATTAATTATAAGTTTTCTATCCATAAAGTAATTTATTGTTTACCATTTGTCTTCTTTAACTCTACTAAACAGGCTATATGTACTGGTAGGCATGAATTGTGGTATGGATCCTTTTTTAATATTCTACAACATATAGTAGATAATATAAACTGTATTTATAGAATAACAATAGAAAAACTTGTGTTACCTTTGGGAATTACCTTTCTGTAAGAGAGAAACATTTCTGATAGTCACAATTATAGTACAATCTCTCTGCTTCAGACACTTCCATGTCCAAGTTACCAAGTAATCTATCGCTAACGAGAACTCCCATCACGCTACACGTTGCTAGAGTCTGTTTTTTATTCGGTTCCTGGTACTTTTTCAATTTACTCTCATATAGCAAACGTAAAAGCTCTGTTTCAGATTCTGTGCATTGTTCAGCAAATGGAAGAGACTCCAAAAGCTCCTTTTCTAAATGATATATATTATGAGAATACTTGTGTTTATTAAGAAAAAAACGACAAATTAATATCTTTCAATAAAAATTAAGTATGATACCTTCGGACGCAGAAAGCATTTGATTTTGAACCAGGGCTTCAAATGCTTGATACGAATAAACATCGCAATGTAAAGCCTGTTTGTAGCAATCAGTTGCCACTGCTCTGTTATCCATAGCTTCATATACACGTCCTTTCACATATAATATTGAACTTTGCACCTGTAATAAAATTCGTATACATTATTAAAACTTGAATAATGATGATAAATCTCATTCAGAATGGACTATCAAAAATTATTTATACTTAATCACATTTTTTGAAGCATCTTCCAGAATGTGTGTGCGATCAGTAAAATTGATAACTGACTGTGTTATGTTCGTACATATTTCTGATTCATTAATGACTTGCAATGCTTCATTATATTCTTTTGCTTCAAGAAGGCTTCTTACTGTTAAATAGTGACACATTACGTCTGTCTGCAAGGAAGTGGCAATATATTGTGTTACACTATGAACAACTTAATCAAGAACAGTTGCCATAATATCATACCTTTTCGAGCCCACGACTTTTGATGACATGAGCAGCTCTGTGATATTGTTTCATTAGAAACATGCAGTGAGCCAAAGTGCATATGTCCTTAGGATTTTCATTACTCAACGAAACAACTTTGTCTGCCCAGAATAAAGCAGCACTGTACAGATGCTGTAAAAAACAAAACAGTCACATTCAAAACAGTTTCATAACTTTCACAGGTCTTGATAGATCACCAAACCTTACCAATTCTATATACGATTTAATTAATTTTCTATAATTGTCTAAGTCAATATTTTTGTTGCCTATTATGTTATGCATTTTTTCGGTGTCAGTATTGATACTTTGACGCGCCATGTTTCATTTAAATTCGGAAGGTTAAGTTTCTTCCCCCTATCGTCGTTTTTACTCCAAGATGTCTCACTTCACTAACCTATCGTATTCCAACAAATGTATTTTTTCAGTTTAGAATCACTTATAGAAATCTTTGCAAATTATATCTTTCAATAACCATTATGTGTCAACTACAAATGTATTGTACAACAATTAAATAACTAGTATCTGTGTAACAGAAAATATAGTAGAAATAGCCTGTGGTGCTATCTACGGTAAAATGCCTAAGCGATTACCTGACAATAATCTAGCGAGGTTTTTGAATTATTCTCGCTTATGTTGCATTCCAATATCCAAGTGTTAAGTGTTTAACAATCCAGTAATTTACGTCAACTAAAAATGAAAAAACATTTTATTATTGAAATTGATAACTAGTATTGTATGTTATTGGGTCTTTAAAATAGGGTGAATAATGAACAATTATTTCGAGGGAAAGTTACAATTCATTTTTGAAGGCGCTGTAATCGTGACGCACGGAAACTAACAATGGCGTATTCGGTGAACATCTCTGTGGAAGCACCGATCGAGAATCAGATCCAAGAAATTACGTACGATGGTCAGGAAATTTATCAGGCGTACGTACTATCTTTTGTTACTGTTCTTCCTTATGAAAGTAATAAATCAACAGACCATTCACTTTTGTTTAAAAGGATTCATTCTACTTTTTTCGCCTAACCTAATGTCAATATAACATATTTACATTTATGAACGCAGCGTTATTCAAAGATTTATGTAGAATAAGACTTCGATTTTCAGACCCCTTACATTGTCAGAGAACCTGGCAAAGATCGCACAAAAAATCGACTTTAGCAAAACCAATGGAGAGGATGTTAAAAAGGAGTCTGAAAGTGGTGAAAAGGGAGAGGACGATACAAAGGATTCGGCACCCTTCCAGTCCTCTTTATGGCCATGGGACAGCGTTAGAAATAAACTGAGGTAATATGTTGTATTCTATTATTACAAGATTTGTGTAACCATAGATCAAACAAGTTTGCTTTTCTTTCCAGAAATGCATTAACAGAAGTATGTGTCCTAGCAGATGTTCTTGCTATAGCAAAAGAGAAACACTATATGGTTCTAGATCCGGTATCCCAAGAACCAGCTGAAGTAAAACCCATGATACAAGTATATGCTAGAAAAAAAGCATTGGCTGGAGCTGCTTCTGTGATTATGATGGGTGCAGATAGATTAAAAAATTGTCAGAATGAATTAGCTAGAAATAGATCAACACCCGACTTCCATATCGAATTATTAAGACTAAGGCAAAATTGGCGTTTGAAAAAAGTTTCTAATTCGATTATCGGCGATCTTAGTTATAGAACAGGTTCTAAGTCAGATTCCTTTTGTTATTCCATAATAATTGGTAACTCAATATACTAATGTAACATTAATTTTAAGCTGGTTCCAAGTTTCCTCAAACGGGCATGTTTGAAGTAACGAAGGCAGAAGAGGAAGAAAAGAGCAATACCAGTCCCCCAGCCTCTCCCAGTGCTGGTAACAATACATCTGGACAAGCTCACCATCCTTCCAATCCAAAAGCTTCTGCATTGCGTGTTACTATTCCTAGCGAATTGCAAGGTGTTGCTTATATAGAAGTATTATGCCAAAAAGGTAAATATATAGTTGATGCATCATTTCTAATAGTGGGGCAAGATGTCTAATGTAATTTATCTTTTTAGATCAAGAGGATCTTTGTAGTGCGAATATTAATTTACTTAATAATAGTGCTCACAGTTCGAATGCAGACATGCATTGGCAACAAAAATTAGAGGCTGCTCAGAATGTTCTTTTCTGCAAGGAATTGTTCAGTCAATTGGCAAGGGAGGCAGTGCATTTGCGTGCACCTATACCTCATATGGTTGTTGGAAATCAAATAATGGCAACGGTAATTAATTAATGGAACTTCTATTTTAAAATAATACTAAAGAAATATCTTTGCTCTAGGTACTCCCTGGAATTCAGCTGATCATAGGACTCTGCCATAGTACCGGAAACGATAAAAAACCGACTGCTCCTCCACCTCATAAAAGCGATCACGATCATGTGCTTGAACATTCGTTGCATCAGTTGCTTCGTGAAGTGCATCATAAGAACACTCACCATCCGTTTCCACATCCTTCATCAGGTCCCCTTGGGCCTAGCAAACGAAGATGTCTAGCTGGTCCAACAGCAGCTGATAGATACGAACTCCTAGAAATGACAAAAAGCCATACTCTGTTAGAACAAATAATTCAACAAGCTCAACACTTTTTTATGCGTCTGCGTACAGAGTATGTTCTAGACACGATAGCAAAGGAAGTGAAAGATCCTTTGATCGTTTCTCACTGGAATGCATTGAACTCTCCGACGCAATCGTGCGTTAAAATTAACATTCTAACACATGGATACGATAGCGTATGCAGAACGTCGCTTGTTGTCCACGTCGGAGAGAAGTCATTAAAATGCGTTTGCAGAGACGGTAGAGTGATGCACATGAGTTATGAACCCCAAGAACTAAGGGATCTAATTTTCTGTCAGGTAGAGATCGTTCCTTAGCACAGTTCTAATGTTGGACATTTCTAAACATTGCTGTAATTGTAATTTTACAGATATATCAGCATCAAATAACTGCAGTACAAGCGCTAGCTAAATGTATGGGTTGGCAATTTTTAGCAAACAGTTCGCATCTTGGTTTGGGAGCTGTGGAACCTTTAGGGAATGCTAGCAGTTGTATTTTAGCATCGCCAATAGGCGACAGGTATGAAATAAGATTTATTATCTGTAGCGGCCTGTATGAAAAATTGCGGCGATGGTGAGAACATATTTAATACCGATTGAACATGTTTTCAGGATGATTGCAGTGAGGTGCGAGCCACAGACAGGAATACAAGTAGCAATAGCCCATTCCCCAAGAAAAGATTTTTTTCCTGGACAATTAGTTAGAGAAAGAAAATGGGAAAATCTTGGCGGCTCGTTCAAAGAAGTTCGGTGGGATAAAATGGAAGGAAAGAACTTTTTAAATAAAATGGAACTGCTGATGTCTTCATTGACAAGCTCGTAAATTTAATCGATGAGTGATTAGGAATCCATTTGCTCCACAGGGTGAAAGGTCATGAATGTACTTTTAGATTTTTATCACGAAACTGATATGCAAAATACATTTCTTAATTGTACAATTGAACGGTGCACTTGTCGAGTGAGATCTCTCCTGTCTGTGATTAATATCATTTTCCATCTTGATATATTTTTACCGGTTCAAGTATCTATCTTTCTCTCAACATTTCTTCCTATTTCTTTTTCTAATAAAGTAATATTTAAAATATGTTTATATTTTGATATGTTACTTTTAGTACTAACGGTACTTGTCCTATTCATTTAATTTTATCCTGCAATATTTGTTTCAACGAGGGTCGGCATTAATTATATCTCTAATTTCACAAAAATGTTTTTTATTTGAATGACATACGAAATGTAATACGAATCGAGTAATAAACCATCGTGAAATGGTAAGTGAAACGGAATGCCAAATATATGGATGTGTAGTAAACGCCTAAAAGTACAATGGATCTTCGTATATACAAAAACTAATGAACAATTCCTTACATATTATCGTCAAGTGTATACTCTTGTTCACTGTTAATCGTAAAACTCGAACTGTTACAATAACTACTCTCTCCCTTGCCGGATTTAACATGTACAATATGCACATCTCATTCTTACGTATGTACATTCACGCTAACTGTAAATCTTTTTTCCCTGTGTACTGTAAACTGCGATACAACTACGTTCGCGAATATTATATTATTTTGACGATACATTTGGTTCGATCGGTTAAACGGGACGGACTAGCAGCTTGACCAAAGCATTCTGTGCTAGAACGTATTACAGACACGATGCAAATAATCATTTTTTTTTTAAACGGGATCAAACCACATGCTTTTAAAAACGTGAAAAACTTTAAAACTTTATGTAACGAATAATAGTGCCACGCGTAATGGATTTTCTACAGATTTTGGTCAAGTATGAGAGTTCTTTGAATTTGAATACCTTTTAAATTTTCACCAATGCATATCTCTGAAAATATTGGCTTGATCAATGGTATAAAAAAATAAGGTATAGTTTACTAAGTTAATGTCGTACAATTTCACAATCAGTGTATATTAAAGTATTGAACAACTTTCATAGACTAATACTTAAGGAAAAAAAATGAAATTGTCATTCCGCAATGTTCATTTCTGTCGATTCACACCCACTTATTCGCACTTTCATTTTCTTGTAATACAATGAGTTATACTTTGAACTCTACCACCAGCCACTTTGAATGCCAGTGAAGTTGTTACCATTAAAATTCCATATGCAGATAACAGGCTAGCCATGTAAAGTTGGTACACATTGAACAGGGTCATGCCCGAGACGAACAAATGTGAGCCAACAACCCAAACGATTTGTCCCCAATTCTTCCTGTCCAGTGCAGAGAAAAATATCACACCCCAGAATGTATGCAGCAGGATAAAGCACAGGGTTGTGGCAGCCGATATTATAAAAAAGTATTCTGTGCCTTGTTTAAGTCCCATTGTTCCAGGCCCAACTGAATCTGCCAGGACATTGACCAGGGCAAAGGCACCGCTCATTATACCAAAACCTAAACCACATACATATGCAAACACATGTCTGCTTTCCGCTACAGGTGTTGTTGTTATTTTTTCTAAGCCTCTTTCAGCTTTCCTCAGTACCCAATATAAAAGATACCTAAATTAAAGAGACAAAACAATTAAAAACACATGATTATCAGTAAGAAATACATAACTCGATCTTTAAGTTTCTATAGCAAGAAGCGAAGTTCATACAGCAATAGATACGCATTTGGGTTATTTATACTATGTCTTTGTGTAATGTAATTATGTATTACATGCTTCTTACTATACAAGACTAAAGATATTACGCAAAAGCATCTAATTTAGTCACCTGAACGCTTCTTGAAATAGTACAGAGAAAACCAATCCGAATGCCAACTGGTTCTGTAACGGCACTACAGCGTACCAAAGCACCGACGACAATAATAATGAAATGAACCAAAAAAAGGCACTGGCAATCAGTATAATAATACGAATAGGTTCAGTCGCAACGGTAAAGGTAAACATGGCCAGCGGAGGACCAAAAGCCAGGAAGGCACAACCAAAAAAATCCATAACTGTCATTTTTGTTGTGGTTAGTGGTTACTTCACTTTCTCTTATTTATTATCACACCGTAATAGCTTTTCTTTGAATACTAAATATTCATAACCCTCTGAAGCCTTTACGCGGCTTCTACGGTACTGTTTGACAAATACATTTATTATCTATACTCATCTGAACGATTAAAAAATGACATTAATACAATCCGGGCTTGAATGAATCACGTCAATGATGAAATCACTTGGCACAACTTCGGAGATGTGTAAACTCTCGACACAAGGTCTCGATTCGATGTATCGATAGCACAGCATGAACAACCATTAAAGAAGCGACTCAGCCTTTCGAAACAAATTTCTCCTGCGCATGTCTCTCTACGTACGTAATTAATTTATGGAACGGTATAAATTATTGAAAATGTAATAAATATGCAATAAAAAATATAACATAATTGTATGTTTATTACCTCGAAACCCACAATAATATAACCTGTGGCGCCATCCGTGGCATAAAGCTGAAACTATTCACCGAGAACTGGTGGCACCTCCGTGGCAGAACGCGGAAACTACTTGCCAAAACTGGTGGCGTCATCCGTGGCAGAAAGCTGAAACTACTCACCAATACTGGTGGCGCCGCCCGTGGCAGAACGGTGAAACTGATGGTCAAATTTTTGGCTAACAGTTTCACCGTTTTGCCACGGGAAGCGCCACCAGTTTTTGGCAAGTAGTTTCCGCGTTCTGCCACAGGAGGCGCCACCAGTTTTTCACAAGTAGTTTCCGCATTCTGCCACGGGAGGCGCCACCAGTTATCAGCGAGTAGTTTCAGCCTTTTGCCACGGATGACGCCACCATCGTCTATCGTTATCCTTGTCGCACAACCGACTACCTTTGTCTTACACATTAGACGAGATAGAGAAAGAAATACGTCTATGAGAAATCGTTAATAACTAATTAATTTGGATTCAAATATGTATAAAACCGTACTCGAACTGTAGATAAGACTTCAGTCTTAAGTTTCTTCTGCATGTAGAGTGCAACAATCTGCAATACAGAAAACTGCTATTAAAGAGAACATTCTAATTTATTACAAAAAATATATAATATACAATTCGAAACGAAAGCACAGTTGCAAACAGTGTTACATAGCATAGAATCAGTAATATATATATATATAAAATTGTTCGTCTATGAATACAAAATTAAGGCAATAACCATACAGCATTATAATTTGGTGGCGTTATTAATAATCGTGTACTGTACGTTGTTCTGTTACAAAATATATTTATATGTTGCCAAAGCTGTAGACCTTCCATTTCATTTCATGAAGCATTATTTAAAGCATAACTTACATCATGTATTGATGCATGTCGAATGCATCAAAATTCAACTGGATGAAATGCAACAACAATCAAGGAGAGATTTGTCCTCTAAATTGATCTTAAAAGTTATTTTATTCATATCGGACAAGATGAGGTGTAATTGAAATATATTTTGCTTTAAATTCTGCGACATTATTACATGTAAGCTTTTCTTTGCTGCTTTCATACGTTCACGTGTCTATAATTGTAATCGTAATACATGTAACATACAATCTACTCTTCAAAATGGATTATGGCCAGGTGGTGGTTGGTTTCCACCATAGCGTGGCATAGTCGCGTATCCACCATAAGGGGTTGGTGGCATACCCTGATACGGATTGTAATTTCCTGAAAATCGAATAATTAATAACAATTTCCTCAAACGTGTATAATTCTGTATGCTTTGTTTATCACTGATTATGCAATAGACCTTGAGAAGGATAAGGCATTGTGGCATATGGATTATACGTTGCAGGCATGGGAGGCGGAATATATGCAGGGTATGGTGTTGCAGGACCAGCTCCGTATGGTATAGGCATTCCTCCTTGATAGTGTGTAGGGTACGGTAATTGTGATGGTGGACTTTGTTCGGATCCAGATTGATTTTGGCCAGGCATTCCTGCGTACATATAAATCTCCAAAATCAAGTAGAAGAAAGAAGAGTGGATTATTATCATCTATTATCTATACCACTGTGATGAGTTGGAATGGTAGGGGTGGTAGCTGGTCCAGTATGACTCAAATTTGTCGTCAAATCTTTCAGTAGCTCCTCTTTCTCGGTTTTCCGAGCGAAGCAAAAATCAGATATTTTATTTTGGAAGACCACCAGCAACTGTAAAATCAAGTTACTTTTTGATAACAGCAGTCTTACGCTTGTATTGTGTCTGTGACCGAACGAACCTGTGTTAAATCGTTATAGAACTTTGCCCCTTCGTTTAAATTGTTTTTTAATTCCTTATATGAATCATAAGCAGCTGCAAGTTTGCACATCATGGCTTCTCTCGAACTACCACTGCCAGATTGTTCGTTCGTAAATTCGGCATGACACCTCTGAAAAGTTTGATTGAAAAATTAATACTGCACGCATTGTTTGACGTGTAATAAACAAACGATTTATAAATACTTGAATGTCGGCAATCAACTGCTCCTGTCGCATGACACTGTCTCTCACTTGCTTCTGCAAAGGTCCGTATGTCTTTCCTATATTTTCCACAGACAAGTTCGGCTCATCGATTGCACCATCCTTAGCAAGCGCTGACAGGAATGTCGTTTTCATATCGGTAACAGCGGACTGTAGTTCACTTTCTATAACATCGCGTTCTGCTTTCAAAGTTTCCACCTTAAAAGAAAAGAGTCTTAATGTAAAGTAATTACGGCATCGAATATAAACAAAAAAGAAATAAATATAAACAGCTTACAGTTTCCATAAGTTTCCTAAGTTGTCCAACCGTATGGCTTTCCTGTACAGCTGATCCAGTTGGTACTACATTGATCATAGCACTGTCGTCTAAACTTAAAATTTCCATACCTTCCCTGTGGTTTTCGTATTTTTCACGAACAGTCTATACGAAATGATATAATAAGTATCTCAACGTATGTACAGATACTAGTACAATAATTTTCCACCCTATTTACCTTATCAGCTGTGACTGCGTTATTAATAATTTCACGGTATTTTCGTAAAACAACATTAAACTGGTCTTGCAGACGAGAACTGGGTGTTCTTGTCCAGCGTTCCTTGAATTGTTCTCTCAATTGATCATCAGATTGTCGTTCTTCTTGAAGCATTCTTTCGGACTAGAAATATATTACAAAGAAATGATTATTTTTAAGTATCATCATCATTACACTTCTACTTACCTCATCCAAGAGTTCTTTATTTCTTTGCAAAAGATCAGGCAACTCGGTCATAGCGTTTTCTAAAGCCTTGATTCCACCTGCTTCCTTCACGTACTGGGCCTTCTCCAATAAAGACTGAGGTAATTCAGTACCACTCGTATCCTCAATGGCGGCAGGTAAATTTAAACTCGCCAGAACACTAAAATAACAGGATGATTAGACTAAAAATTCCTTAAACGAATAATTTCAATTTTTTCTGTACCTATTCAAAACCTGTGTCATTTCTCGTAGTTTCGAAATTTCTGAATTTACCAATTCGTTGCGACGGAGATCATAAGATGACATTGCTTGGTGGACACTAACTGGCAACAAATCATCGAAAAGATCTGCAATGCGAAGCAAGATTATATATAAAATGTAATCGGAGCAAATACATTATTCGACGATGAAATATGACAAACCTTTGAAATTTGTACTGAATACGTCCGGCATAGCTAGTAATTTTGCAACATGGGCTTTACCCACAGGCTCCAAAGATTTTACATCTGGTATCCTTTCATGATAAATGAAGTCGTTATCCTTCTTCACTTCCGTAAGATTTCTTTGAGCTCGATTCGCATAATCTTGGAACAAGGCAGGCTTGTTTGAGCGCTGTTGTGCTGCCTTGAACAATTCTACAGCATGCTAAAAACAAACACTTCAATTATTATCTCAGTAAACTAAAGTCGTAACATGAATCAACTTTACTTTACGCAGAATAAAACTTACCTCTAGTCTAGCAATTTCTTCTCCAATGGTTTTATTATTTTTACATACTAACGATTGATAAAATTCAGACATTGCTCGGTATCCAGCTTGCTTTCCAGCTATCTATATTAGGATATTAAATATTACTATTCAATCAGAATGTTGTTCAAATACTAAATACAACAGAATATACGCATACCAAAGGAATCCATTCTTTGTCCCAAAATGCCCTGAAAATCTCTTTTTGGAACAACTTTAATGCATCTGCATATAATTCCTCAGCTTGTGCGGCTAGTTTAGCTACAATTCCATCCTTCATGGCGTCGTGAATTGCTTTATGTACAAATATTTCTTGAGCTTGAGCAAGCATCAGCGCAGACAGTGCACCTAATGTTTCTGGGCTAATGTCAGGTGTTGGTTCTTGCTGAATCGCCATCATAACATTTCCTTTAAGATAATTGAAGATGCCTGCAGATTGCTGAAACACGTACGATAACATCAAATACACAAATATATGTAATTCCTTACATTGTACAGAATTATCTTAACCCAAGTACTTACCTGAAATAATTTAGCTGCCAATTTTAATCCTTCATCGTTATCCAATGATTGAGTTGCAGCTACTGAACTTTGAAGGGCAGCAATATTAAATAATACACATACTTTTTCATAAGCTAATGTACTAATAGCTGAAACACCAAATAATATTATGAAGTTGGAATTATAACATAATATAGTACATAATTATCATATTCCCAAATTTATAAACAGTTTAATGTTGTAAAATAGAAGAATGTCTAAAGTGTCCTGTTGTATATAACGTATGGTGTTAAGAGTATGATTGATATACTTGATAACAGCTTTATCTTATCTATTTTAAAACCAGAGCCAAAATTAAGCTAATCTATGCTATCTTACTTTATTACTTATAGAACTATTACGTGTATCTAGTAAAATCTTACTTAAACTAAGTTTTCCACCAAATATGGTACGATCAAATGCATCTTTCCATTTGAATGGGATCTGTAATTCGTGAGCAGGTATCTTACCCTCTAATGCGCACAATTGATCATAATAACTAGAACAAAAATATTATACTTTATTATTAAAAATCCAGAAGTTTATACTATCATTTATCTATCTATCTAACTACAATATAATCTTCACATATTGTAATATATTTTTGATTATATCATTCTTTCTTAATTCATGTCAGGATTCGAAAACGTCATGTTGATTAATGAGCACAGAATTCGATTGTAACAGCTTTATCGTTTCACTTGATCATCAACGATAAACATATAATTAAAAACGCGGTATACAATGAAAAGCATATTGTTCAAGGAATTAATGTAATTATTATCGAAATAGTACTTGATTAAAAAGATGACTCATACCTGTATATAACCTCCAAGCAGCTTTCATACTTCTCGAAAGCTCGCCACAATGCGTTGTTCCTTAATTTGCTAAAATCGGCGATTGCTTCCGTATAATCTTTTTGATTACCCGCACTGCTGTACGTCGATTTAATGACGTTTGTTAACGGTTTAATAACATCGACATCGGACGGCTTCTTTAAAGGTACCGCAATCAGCTCGGCCATTTTGACGTATGCCTGAAATCGAATTAACGATGAGTACCACTGACATCCGATGTTACAAGCAACTTGACAGTACAGTCGCAACAAAATTTACTGAAAGACACTTACAATTATACTATAAACAGCACTGAATATTCGAAGACACGATAACAAACTTTCGATCAACAAATGAATAGGAAGATACAATACATTTCGAAAATTAAATTTGATAACTATTCGACCACTTGTGGGAAGTGAAAGTATTTTTCAGCCCTCTAGTCGCAAGTATTTGAAACATCGTCATTCCCTTGGATTGGACACATACATATGTTTAAATAAATTTTTGAAATATCTGTAAATATTATGCAACAATATCTTGCTTGTCTAGTATACAGACTCAAATACGGTCGGCAAAAATCAAACGTATAAACTTTTCAACGATTCCTGTTCAAATTAAATTTCCCGTACGTGAGACATATTAAAAAAGACTGTTTGAAAAACAAACAGTTGCTCAACTACATAAGTACGTATAATTTTTCCGAAAATATCGATTATTCTTCGTGATACTAACATCGTTATCGCATATGAACGTCTCTCCCGTCTCGCGGTCACAGTCGTCGATAAATTAATTAAATATTACTATGGTTTCGTCGATAGAAAACGCGAAGTCAGTTCGCTAAAATATTTTGCCTCCCGCGCGAACATTCGAATTCAAATCTATCTTCCAGGCTAGTCGCTGTCAATGTTATTACACCAATCAGTTCGACCTCAACACTTCTGGAAGATTCTATCACTCTCTTTGAGATTGCTTGGAACTGGTTTGTATCATACTAAACGCCGGTGAAACATGGTAAGTGCCAGCCATCTTCCACGTATTATTGCCCTTTATCGAACAATTTACGATGTTATTGCACATTATATATTGTAAAACCACGGCTTAACCTACATTTGACCTTCGTATGTCATTCAAAATATTACAATCATTTTTTGATAGTTATTATTAAATCGTGGACACGGCATTCATTTAACCACCTGCATCCCGAATCATTTCTATCTGGGTACCATTGTTTCAGCAAGGGCTATAATTTCCCTTGCACAATATACGACGTCACAATACATTCTACTGAATCAAGTTCAACGAAATACAAATTTGATGTGGCATGGATTAATTTTCTCCTTTACATTTTCAGGCAGAGCCAATTAATGTGGTGGTTACAGGAGCTGCAGGGCAAATTGCCTATTCCCTGCTGTACCAGCTTGCTGCTGGATCAGTCTTTGGTCCAAACCAACCAGTCAATCTTCGTTTATTAGATATCCCAGTCATGATGAAGGTGTTGGATGGGGTGGTTATGGAACTGCAAGACTTGTCTCTTCCTCTTTTGAGAGGTAAAGACACAAGGTTATTTTGACAATGAAAAATTCAATTACCGAATATTCTTTGACCAGTGGATAAAATTGTACAATGTTAGAGCATGAAAATGAAATTTCCAAAAAGTCATTTGGTCTTCTTATGCAACATGTGCAAAAAGTACTTGTTACATAACGTATAGTATATTATGTAACACGTTGATTCTATTGGAGCATACATATATATGCTCTTACGATTGAAATCATAAATATACATGGATGTTTCATTTTGCAGATGTTGTACCAACTGCTGATCCAACTGTTGCTTTTAAGGATGTCGCTGCTGCATTCCTTGTTGGAGCAATGCCCCGAAAAGAGGGAATGGAGCGCAAAGATTTGTTAGCTGCTAATGTAGAAATATTCAAAGTCCAAGGGGAGGCTTTGGATAAATTTGCCAAGAAAGATGTTAAGGTGTTGGTGGTTGGAAATCCTGCCAATACAAATGCATTGATTTGCTCTCACTATGCGCCATCCATACCAAAAGAAAACTTTACTGCCATGACCAGACTGGACCAAAATCGTGCTCAAGCAGCCTTAGCAGCACGATTGGGTGTGCAGGTATATTTAATGTCACAATACATTTGTATATATTACATTAGAAGATGTGATTTATACCTAAATTTATAACTGCAAACAGGTTGACAAAGTGAAAAAAGTCATTATCTGGGGTAATCATAGTTCGACTCAATATCCTGATGCTGCGCATGCAACTTTAGCTGGTGCAAGTGGCAATAATTCGGTAGCCTCTGCTGTGAATGACGAACAATGGTTGAACACTACTTTCGTAGAGACAATACAGAAACGCGGTGCAGCTGTGATTGCTGCGAGAAAAATGTCATCTGCGATGTCAGCTGCGAAAGCGGCCGGTGATCATATGAGAGATTGGTGGATGGGTACCAATCCAGGAGAATGGGTTAGCATGGGTGTCCTGTCTGATGGAAGTTATGGAATTCCAAAGGATATTGTATTCTCCTTCCCAGTAACCATACAAAATAAGCAATACAAAATCGTCCAAGTAAGCATTCGATATACCTTGTGATAGATATTTATCACATAGATAATAATTATCATAATTTTTTAGGGACTTCCAATCAGTGATTATGCAAGAGCCAAGTTAAATGTTACTGCTAAAGAGTTGGAAGAAGAACGCGCAGAAGCGAATACTGTTTTACAAAAAAAGTGACTAGGATCGCAACAACGTAATTATGAAGACCCTATACCCCGTTCAGCAAAATTGTAAAGACTAAATTTTTGTTCATGGTATATGTAATGTGATGCGACACCATGGTCCTAAAAAGCCTTCAAAAAGGACACCAATGGAACCGTGTAAATTATATTAGCGGTATTACGTAGTTCGTACATTATACGGGACATAGTGATATGCATATCTTTTCTAAAGGGCAATGGAATTGTTAAACACATACGTTTATATTCATAGACTGTATAAAACATGTAACAAATTACGTTGAAGAACATGTTATACTTTATAACGTTTTTTTGTTCTCTTTTATTCTTTTCCCCAAGAATCAATAATAATTTATATTACAGTAATAGTAACTATTCCTCATATCGATATCATTAATCAATCTTTTTTCACATTTATATTATTTTCATATCTTTTCTTCTAGACACTATTATTACAGGTATATTGATTTCCGCCTATAATTATAATTATCGAGTGAGCATTAAGTAGCATATTGTACAAAGATGCAGAGTGCTCAGCTTGCATAGTCTTGTGAACGGTTTCGTTCATTAAAACGTTTTCCATCGTTCTCGTCTTTAAGTTTTGCCTGTCTGTTAATGATGCTGATACGTTCGGCTAAAAGGGACAAACATTTGAAGCTGTGAAACTTGGTCTGNCTTCTTATGCAACATGTGCAAAAAGTACTTGTTACATAACGTATAGTATATTATGTAACACGTTGATTCTATTGGAGCATACATATATATGCTCTTACGATTGAAATCATAAATATACATGGATGTTTCATTTTGCAGATGTTGTACCAACTGCTGATCCAACTGTTGCTTTTAAGGATGTCGCTGCTGCATTCCTTGTTGGAGCAATGCCCCGAAAAGAGGGAATGGAGCGCAAAGATTTGTTAGCTGCTAATGTAGAAATATTCAAAGTCCAAGGGGAGGCTTTGGATAAATTTGCCAAGAAAGATGTTAAGGTGTTGGTGGTTGGAAATCCTGCCAATACAAATGCATTGATTTGCTCTCACTATGCGCCATCCATACCAAAAGAAAACTTTACTGCCATGACCAGACTGGACCAAAATCGTGCTCAAGCAGCCTTAGCAGCACGATTGGGTGTGCAGGTATATTTAATGTCACAATACATTTGTATATATTACATTAGAAGATGTGATTTATACCTAAATTTATAACTGCAAACAGGTTGACAAAGTGAAAAAAGTCATTATCTGGGGTAATCATAGTTCGACTCAATATCCTGATGCTGCGCATGCAACTTTAGCTGGTGCAAGTGGCAATAATTCGGTAGCCTCTGCTGTGAATGACGAACAATGGTTGAACACTACTTTCGTAGAGACAATACAGAAACGCGGTGCAGCTGTGATTGCTGCGAGAAAAATGTCATCTGCGATGTCAGCTGCGAAAGCGGCCGGTGATCATATGAGAGATTGGTGGATGGGTACCAATCCAGGAGAATGGGTTAGCATGGGTGTCCTGTCTGATGGAAGTTATGGAATTCCAAAGGATATTGTATTCTCCTTCCCAGTAACCATACAAAATAAGCAATACAAAATCGTCCAAGTAAGCATTCGATATACCTTGTGATAGATATTTATCACATAGATAATAATTATCATAATTTTTTAGGGACTTCCAATCAGTGATTATGCAAGAGCCAAGTTAAATGTTACTGCTAAAGAGTTGGAAGAAGAACGCGCAGAAGCGAATACTGTTTTACAAAAAAAGTGACTAGGATCGCAACAACGTAATTATGAAGACCCTATACCCCGTTCAGCAAAATTGTAAAGACTAAATTTTTGTTCATGGTATATGTAATGTGATGCGACACCATGGTCCTAAAAAGCCTTCAAAAAGGACACCAATGGAACCGTGTAAATTATATTAGCGGTATTACGTAGTTCGTACATTATACGGGACATAGTGATATGCATATCTTTTCTAAAGGGCAATGGAATTGTTAAACACATACGTTTATATTCATAGACTGTATAAAACATGTAACAAATTACGTTGAAGAACATGTTATACTTTATAACGTTTTTTTGTTCTCTTTTATTCTTTTCCCCAAGAATCAATAATAATTTATATTACAGTAATAGTAACTATTCCTCATATCGATATCATTAATCAATCTTTTTTCACATTTATATTATTTTCATATCTTTTCTTCTAGACACTATTATTACAGGTATATTGATTTCCGCCTATAATTATAATTATCGAGTGAGCATTAAGTAGCATATTGTACAAAGATGCAGAGTGCTCAGCTTGCATAGTCTTGTGAACGGTTTCGTTCATTAAAACGTTTTCCATCGTTCTCGTCTTTAAGTTTTGCCTGTCTGTTAATGATGCTGATACGTTCGGCTAAAAGGGACAAACATTTGAAGCTGTGAAACTTGGTCTGGATGCTAAAATACATCATCTCATAGTGACCAATAAAAAAAAAAAACTTAGCACTTTGCACAGGATAATTTTGATTTACACTGTTCTCGTGCATTTCAATAATGACAATGTGTGTTACAGTACCGTAGAGGCATGCTAACAAAGAAAATAGAAATTTTTATCAAGGGTGTCTCTTTTTCCTTACAATACGAATCACTTTCAAGCATAACAATACTCCACAAAGAAGACAGTACGAACATTCGTTCTATATCGAGGAACTGTAAAGTTCTTGTTCCACAAGGACAGCAAATATGTATACTTGAAAACACTCGCGTGTATTACATTTCTTTTTCTTTTTTTTTTTGAGAAAATACAATTTCTATTGTATCGGACAAAACTTGTTATCGCATCGTATGATCATCTGGAACGGATAACTTGCGACAATCATTTTTCTTTTCATCTGTTCAATTAATAAGTTGAATCCTGTTCCTTATTCGCATTATTAGATACCGTATAAATCAGAATGTAATTACGTAGCAAATATTATGTCTTAGAATAGTCGCGTTACGCAGATAGCTATTATTTTATTTAAGCGAGTCTAAACACCTTGTTACGCGTTTCCGTTCCAGGCCACGTGTTAAATCTTTTAAACTGATTTCTATTGGACAATTATTTTCGGTTTTCTTTTTCGAATAATATCAAGGCCAGACGTTTTGCTTTCGAGTGTAGACCACACAGTTCGTTCTTTGAAGCAAAAGTCGATTCGCACGCTTTAAGAGCGTGTACCTTTTCTGGTTCTATTTACCACAGCAGATTGATGCCCAACCAGAAACAAAATTAATTTAAATGGAAACCTCTTTCCCTAGTCGCGGCCAAGAGTCTCTCTTTAAGTGTCTCTTCAGTAGGATACTCTGGTAATTTTAAGTAATGAACACAGGTGTTAACGGAGGGATAACCACCTGAGCCAGCGTCCACTTTTCTCACCACAGTTAATCTAGGATGCAAATTACATAATCCACCAGGAGGTAAAGCTGAACACCCGGTCGCAAACTGTAAGAAAGCCTTTCTTTCTGGGCCAGTTAACGAAACTAGAACGTTCACGAATCTCTGGAATCCAGGACTGTAACAAGAAAAAGAAGTTCGATTCAGATACAATTACAACATGCACAATTAACGTGTCTATTTACCTCTCTCTCGTATAACCCAACTTAGGCTCAGTGTAGTTGAGCAAATCTTCTCTAGTCCACTGTGGATTTTGTTCACCGCAGAGCATCGCCCTTATTTCTTCGGGACTGAAAGCATGGAGTTTCTCCATTGGGAAGACCTTTGAGAAACCAGATCTAAATGACTCGAGCTGCTTCGAGATTCCTCGATCGAGACAGTAATTAACTGTCAGTTCCGCGTATTCCCTTGCATTTTCCATAGTGACCGCTATGTCCGCGCCACCTTCAACCAATTCTACTTGATCGTGTCCGAATATCTTTGAGCTGGGAGAGTAGGTCATCGTTAAAGCCAGATCCTCGATAGGCACGGACATCCCAGACGGATGGGCGATGCTCAGAGATGTTTCCTCGTCCGCTGAATTGCGACCGTCCGAAAATGTTCTGTCGCGTTTAGCAGTTGCGGTTTGGATCTCTTTAAGGAACTCGCCTCTTACTGGATCCACGTGCACGAGATCCTCTATATCCAAAAGACCCGCGTACCATGGAGAAGGTACGAACGCGGAGTACGCGGCATCAGCTTCACCCTCTTCTGATATGAAGCTGCTGGACATACTGGACGACATGCTTTCCTGGGTGACGCCGGACAAGCCGATCTTCTCGTTCACATTGTTTGTGATGTCTCCGTGACACATTAACTTTAAGAAAGGACGGGACAGCGGCAAATCTACTAATCTATTATCTTGCAAAACCTTCGCCAAGAATACACCCAGGAACCAGAAATATCGCACAGCACGCTCGCAAGCGGCTGAATCCTGTGGTAAGGGAGCAGGGAACAAGCCGCTTGGTCGTGTCACGTAATATCCTGCCGGTCGAACCTGATCGCTAGAAACTCGGATTTGTTCCTCCGTATCTTCTTGCGATTCCTCGTCGTCGCACAGCCACAGACCTAGGTCTTTGCGCTGCAATTCTGCTGCTACCAATGCAAAGAACTCTAATGTTGGTCCGAGACCAGTTCCTTCTTCACCAACAAACTCAACTTCTAATATGCTTTTTCGACTCGCGTGCACCTGCAATGGAAAATAATCGTGACAGTAAGGAGAATGATTGATTACACGAGATATTTGACTTTATGAAACACAAATTTTGTACCTTCAGCACTTGTTCTGCCCAGTCTAATAATTTCTCTCCCCTAGGTACGCTCACTCTTTCGTGCTTGAGTCTGCCAACACGGAATTCGTGGCTGTCGTCGCGTCGCGGACTCAATCCTGGCGCTCTTTGTCTTTCGAGAACGGCGTCCCTCTGCGTTTGAAGCCACACAATGGACCTGGATGCCCCGAACGCGGTGCAACTGAAGTACAATCGTCTGGTTTCGAAAGGCAGCAGGAACGGACAACTCCTGGCTAACTCCTCGCACCAATTCGGCAACGCTCCGGCAGCTAGGGCCAACGGGTCTTGAATTTGTTGCACGATTTTATTCGTGATCTTCTTCGAGGTGAAGTCGTCAGGGTGAACGCAACACGTAGATTCCTCGGACTCGTCGTAGTCTATATGTTTGCCATCGTCGCGAGTCGTGCTCAATACGTAAACGTGCCTAAGAAGTTGTAACACGTCCTCGACGGTGCACGCTGAAGAATTTTGAGTAGCATTGCGGGAGTACAGCGTCACGATTGGTGTTGCTCTTCCTGATGATTCTTCATCCCTAGCTTCTTTGTATATTATACTGCAAACAAAAGACAAGTTACATACACGAGTAAGAAACAGTTTGTTCATGTACATATGAATGTGCATTACGTATAATTTGGTTCCCATATTCTTCTTAGTTTTTCCTGCCGACTTCCTAGCTCAGTAAGCTGCATCAACTCCTGCACAGCTTGGAAAATACTGGCGTGCGGTTCAGTGAGCGGTAACTCGACATCCGGTACACCTGGAAGGCCTGGGCCTTTCAATGTCAGCAATAACCTCGGCATAGGCAGCGACCCTACGCGAGCACTGGATTGTGTTTCGCTACCAGGTGGTGGAACTTCCAGATCTGTTGTCTATCAACGAAAATTGTGTAATAAGAATAAGAGAATTGTTGCGTGTCGTGTAGACCAACTGTTTGCCCTCACTTACTTGATTAATGTTCGTTCGGCCAGGTCGAGGATCGAAAGCGGGTATCAAAGCTGAGAATTGACGTTTCAACACGAACTCGTCGTCCCAAGCACGACTCTTGCTACTCTGAGAAGCCTCCTCTTCCATAAACGTTGCCAACAAATTACGGCTTACCATCACTTCTTCGTAATCTCCTTCACAGCCATCACCTTCGTCTTCATTTTCCTCATCGTCCTCCTATTGAAAGCGAAGAGAAAAGAATCACGCATTACACTGTGTTACAGACTCGTTAATTTACAAAACCAAATTTATATAAAGTTCCCGAGACTCACTTCTTGATCATGTTCGTCGTTATCCTCTTCCTCCTCGAGGACAACATCCTCGTCGTCTTCTAATTCCGTCACGAGGGTTGGTCTGTTAATGATCCTAGCACCACTAGCACTAGAACTCGCAACACCTCCACAAGATTCCAAAAAGTCCTCGAGACTCACCTGTAGCAATAACTGCTTATTACATTATATAAAATCATACACTCGATGATCAATACCATACATAGACATGAACATATGAGAAAAGGTATTCGAACACATGTTTGTCCGAATATTCACCGATCCTTACCTGTTCGCTATCGCTGCTTGTACTAGTCAGAGACATTGTTAACGCTTGTCCTAATCCAGCACCTGTTGTTGTCGTAACACCGCTGCCTGCGACTTGACCGCTGCTGGTTAAGCTTGGATAACTTTGCGCGGTGCTTAGTAAACCACCAGGGAAATTAGGATTCAAGGCGAGACGAACTAAGCTTGACACAGAATTAGGTCCGCGGGAATTTGAACCAGTATTGGAATTAGAAGCGATGTGTTGTCCACCTGTAGGTCCTACGAGGGAACACTTTGTTAGTGGAGTATGAAAACGTTACTTTGCGTTCCGATAACCAGTTGGCAATTACGGTTCATCGGAACACAAAGTTGGCATTGGGCAGTGCAGCTGATATACGGAAAGATATGTAGATAGTGTCTAGCAATATTTCATGAACACTAACCAAACGTTCTTCTTCGAGTCATTGCGGTAAAAGTTCCCAACAAACCGGTAGCTGTTGTTGGTTCCAAAGTATTGCTAGTATCTGAACAAGCAAGGTTGGGGACAGACACAGACATAGGATTGGTCACGACAACAGGACATCCTCCGGTTGTGTTTTGCGTAGACGAGCTAGCTTCTTTGTCCCGACTGCATTCTTTGGTAGCTAGTTCAGAGGAAACGTAATATGTGAGTATGTTACGCTTTTTTTTACGGAGCAGCGATAAAAAACGATTAGTTTTTATTGAGATTATATGGACAATGAATAAGAGAAAAGGGAATAGTGCTGTTCTCATACCATCAGCGATTCCAGAATGTCTTTGTACAGGTTTTATCCTTAACGAATTATCCTCAGACTCGCCTGATACGCTAATTCTAACAGGCACTATACTAAGTAACTCTCCGCTTAAAAAGCTGTTAGTATTGTTGCGTAGCCTGTCGGCTCCTTCTCTGACACGGTCAAGTGCTTCGGCTGCCTCGAGCAAGTTTGCCACTGGCTGTAAATGTATTTCAACATAAAATTAGTACAAATGCTATGCACACTGATGTGATACATGTATATGTTAGATCAATGATTACGCGGGCATCACACCTTATTTCCTCGCACAGTAGCAAGCAACGGTTTCGAACTACTAGATGCACGATTGCTGTTACTGTTGCTGGAACAGTCAGTGTTAAGGGCAAGACTCTCAACAATCGTTGCCAGATCACTTGTCACGGTAGTGTCGGGTCTTGGGTGTAATACAACCGACAATTCGCTAGTCGAGTTTGCTCCACCTTCACCGGTTACAGCGACAACCGCCTCAGCACGAGCAACCGACAACACACTCTCTGCTATCGATTCAGCCGCTTGCTGCTTGCAACAAACACAAAATTTAAGCTGCTTTGAAACCGGTGTGAGATTCTCTACTCTAAGTCGCACATATTTCACTGCGTTTGAAGAGTGTACAGTAATTCAAAGAACACGCCTGCGATTCTGATGCAAAAGAACGTTGATCGTACCTTAGCCGCCAAGTTGTCTGCACTTGCTGCTTGATCGGTAGACGCTACCGAACCACGCATCACGGTATCGGTGCAATCCGGCAAGCTAGGAGTACTGCTGGATTTTCGTCCTGTTAGCACTCCGGTACCAGTTTTACCTTTTGTTCCATTATCTGAGTCTAAGCCCGCACCAACTAGTCTTAAGTCGTATTTCCCTTCTGCGCCCATTCGATAGGAATTGGAACCTCCGTGATCCCATGTTACGTCTATCCAGCCGTTATGCAATTCTCCTGTTACGGTACCTTCGCCTGAAAGAATAAATACTTTGATGACTCATTATCAGTATACACGTGGATTTGAAATAAAAGATTCGCATACCTGGCGGTATGCCGTCCTGATCCCTCCATTTCCAATCTAGGCCTCTAGCAACTCTAGCACCAGCGACCAAATGACGAAGTACTTGGGATTTAATTAATCTTCTCAATCTTCGGATTCCAGCCTCAGCTTCTCTAGCAGCACGACCCAAGTCCTCGCATACGCCAGTAACTTCACCATAAACTTCGAATCCGGATACGGACAAGTAATGCGTGTGGCCGGACGAGTTCTTTCCAATCTGTTGCAATCGCAGGTGACGCCAACCTTGCGTCTCTTCTGTCGTCAATTCTAACGTCCACGTAGCTGTGTTCCCAGGCTCGTTCAGCGATGTGTCATCGACGTGAGCGTAGAGATGCGTCCAGTTGACTCCGTCTTTGGATGCTTGGAACAACCAGTTTCGCAGAGCGCTTCTACCATAGCCTTTTGCGTGCCTCAGCGTGTAAGCAGTCGGGATGATCCAGACCCCCAAGTCGATCGAGAACCACGCTCGCTTGTCATCGTTCGTGTGACAATTCAACGCCGAAGGATCACGACTCAAAATATCTTCGAGTTGACCGTAGGGCAGATTTCTCCCATCGCTAGATGTGACAACGACCAAACCGTATTGGCCTGGATTCACCCACTCGCTGCATGACTTTGAATTCGTACCGATCCAATACAATAAACCATTTTCATCAAAGTCGTACTGATACTTGAACGTTATCCTGTTACCCTCTTTTAATTTCTTCACAAACGTGAACGTAGATCTATCATGATCGTACCACTGTTTCGCTACCATTCGCAACAAATGGTTCTCCAACTGTTGTATGGTGCTCAAAGGTTCCATCTTCAAGCTACGACCAGACCTGTCTATCAGAGAGCTCTCACCAGCAGCTTTTTCCAAGCGGAAGCGCAGTCTTCTGGTCAGAATTTGCAAGCCGTAGCCGGAGCCTGGCGTGTCGTACAAGTAGACCGGTAACTTCTCAATGGATTCCAGTACAGAGACCAATTTGTGGACTAGAATTTTCGCGGAGTTGTGTACCTTGTTCACATCCGTCACGTGGAAACAATTTTTAAATACTACTATTCGTTGCATTCGAAGCTTGGTCGCTCTTAATGTCGGCGGCTGTGGTCCTGGCGGAGCTGCCAACAGGACAAGCAACGCCTGAACTAGGCCGCTGGAATGCAGCTCATACGCGGATACCTTCCCTTCTTCATTCAATAAAAGTTTTAGTTCTTCTAGCGTGCTTTGCAGTATGCTACGCCATTCTCTGTTCCCGGCTTGTTGCTTCTGACAAGCCTTCTCTATCTGACTGACGATAACACCTAACTTGGCGACCACTCCACGTGGTTGAGCCTGGGCAGCTTTGAAATAACGCTCGTAAATGTCCTGAGCTTGCATTTTCACTTTCTGCTTGATGGCTTCGATCTTGGATCTCAATCTTTTGCCTCTTTTTCCGGCCCAACCTGCGGAAAACTCTGGACCTGAAATATAAGAAAGAGCAATGAAAGCAAAGAGTAACAGGGATTGTGTTGCACAAGCACATAAAACACCATCGCTTACCTAAACTAGTTTCCGCCGTGAAGGAATGCTTCGTGCCTCGATTCGACTCAAAAATAAATCCAGGCAAATCCTCTCTCAAAATAGTCACCTGCAAGCTATCGCTATTATGAATGCCCAACATGCTTTCCCTTCTGCTGGATAATGCCCAATTTCCTACGATCAGCCGGGTCGTGCCAGGACGCGACAAAACAGGCTGGCTAACAGAGTTTGGTTTCACTTGGCTACGAGCTCTTTGCAATTTCTCCAAGAATTCGCCGCGATTCTCTGCAATGCATACAGTCCAGTAATTGATACGGTCTGACCGACCAAGCAGGCGGTGGTGAAGTTATATTCAATGAACCGAATAATGTTGTGGCAGTAGAAGAATGTTCAGATCATGCATGCAGCAGAAATATAGGAGTTGTCATGCGACCGATGATTTAACACTGAAGGGTCTGGGAGATCGTGCGCAACTAGGAGAGTCCAACATGTATGTACCTACCTTCGGTGGTAAGCGACTCTGTGTTCCTCCCTTTTCCTGTAGGCAGTTAGTAAAACCAGTTATTTACTAAACTATTCCCCTCGCGAATAGGAAGTTAATCACAAATGAATAAAAAAGAAAAAAGAAAAAAAAAATATATATATATATATGTATAAAATGTAAAATAAAAAGTGATTCGAACAGGGCCAACAAAATTGGCGCGAAGGGTAAGGAAGTGAAGGGAACACTTCAACAAGAAAGACAATGGCAAGATGGACGAGACATGATGAGAATCTGATGTTGATATTATAGAAAAGAGAAACGCACCCGACGTATCTGTTCCACCCTCCGGGCTTCCGCTGGAGTACATTGTCGCCAGTTTTCCGTCGAGTATAAATCGGAACCATCCGTTGCTTCCATTCGATAGTTCTAAGGCAGCTGCGTCTGACCAAACATACAGGCAATCGCGTCCTCTGCAGATACACCAATCTCTCCAATGATATGCTCTTCCTACTAAAAGCTCTCTTGCGTCTTCCATTCTTTGTTCTTCCCCAGACTGATTCGATTCCGCTTCCGGATCCGGTGCACTCTCTTTTGGTCCGGCTAATGCGGCGACTTTCGAAAAGACTCCCAAACGAGCGAAATGTTCTAGAAACTCATCTTTGCTTTTTATCATCAAATCTTGTATCATTTGCAAAACCACTAAGTGTCCGGCCTCGTCCTCCTATTCAGATGAAAATAGAAAAAGAAAAGAGTAGTTTAAATGGCGTTCAGCGATGCTATTGTTAAAATCAGTATCGAATTTTTAAGTTAAAAAGATATTTCTGGTCCTTTGTTCTTTTTTTAATTTTTTTTTTGGTTCTTGATTTAATTACGTGAAGTAAGTACTACACAAGTTTCTACGAATTGTCTGCTGTTGTCACGTTGACTGTGTGTAACATCAATGGAACGGCACAATCTGATTTGTGAGCAAAACAATTACGCGATTCAATGAAATCACAAGCAAATAATGCCCAGTAATCCCATCAGCAGCAGGCAGACAGTCGACAGAAGTGGACAACCAGCTTTGCATCTAATCCTTCATCATGTTCATCTATATATCATAGAATAAACTTCCACTCTCCATTCACCGAAAAGGTCTTTGAACATCTTTCTTTTTCTCGAATCAACTTTTTCAAAAGTACTTGCCCTAACTGTCCTCTTATGTCACGTTCTGTGCTAAAATATATGTTGCTCATTGGGCCACGTGTACATTAATGCGTATAAGAGTAGTTAAAGAGAAAAAAAAAGTATGTCTCCACTCTATGTTGTAGATATATTTTATAGTATCGCAAAATATATATACATTAAACGAACGTTCTCTCAGAATAGAAGTAAGACATGCTTACGTATATATGTTAGATATCACGCTTTATAGAAATTATAGAACGAACGCAATAATGTTAATGAAATATTTGCGTAGTTATTAATGAAAAAACCCAGTGAAGAAAAAAAAATAAAAAATATTTGGGAGCGTCACGTATAGCAAATAGGGGACACAAGGGGTCTTCCAACTAGCGATTGGCAAATATAGAATTAGACGTTACCGTCTTATCAACAATGTAGTTCAGGGAACTGGAAGACTTGCACGATGAGAGGCAACGCAATTTTGGGCCAATATACGGCTTGAGAGGCGGAGGTGGTGGTGATGGTGTTTTTAACTCAAGCTCCTGTGAACAGTCTTTACTAAATCACTAGAATTGTCTGTTTGGCTGCCTGCCTGCCTGCATGACTACTAACATGTTCAAAATATGTTATCAACTAATCCTGTAATAATATTAACTTGTTCATAGGACCTAAAGAAATATATACATACATATATACATAAAAAGAGAGAAAGATAATTTTGATCATAGAAAGATTCGATCTCCCAAGCTTACCTCGTTGTCCAATACATTGGCAATCACCTCTACAAGCATAGCGCCGCAATCTCCTGTTCTATCGGAACCGCATGTTTCAACGAGCAGATCCGGTTGAATATAATGCACCATCTTCCTTATTAGACTTAAACTGGCTTTTCTAACGCTGGGCAACATTGATGATTGAAATGTTGCACAAAATACCGGCAACAGACGCTTCAAATAAACCGGAGCCATTTCAGGGTCGCCTTTCGGTTCTGTGAATTCTGTCTCGGTTTCTGGTTTCCTGTGCTCTTGATTCGGCAGCATCCATTCCCCAGGAGACTGCAATATAGCTGCCACTTCTCTGTGACCCTCGTCCACCCGTTCTCTGGCTTTATCTAGTGGAGTTTTCCCATCTTCGTCTCTTAGATCAGGATTCGCACCATGCTTAAGCAACACCTTAGCGATAGCTGGTCTCCCGAAGCAAGCTGCATAATGCAAACTAGAGGATCGTTGCCCTTTATTAACATCCGCTCCCCTATCGCATAAGAATTCGACCATCTCTTGAGTGCCAAATGCAGATGCCCAATTGAGTAACGTTTGACCAACATCATCCATAAAATTCACTTCGATGCCGCCAGAATCTATAGCCTCTATCAATGCGTCCGTATCCTTGGATCGAATACAATCAATCAGTTGTCTATGAGACTTCTCTCCGGCGCTGTCCAAACGTCTCAATCGTGGTAACAATGGTCCAGACGGACCACCGGTTGTATTACGATTTAACGCTGATCGTCCTTCAAACAGCAGAACCAATAATAAATCAACTAATCTCATAGAATCAAGGGCGCACCGCTCGTCGCCTTTCAAAGCTTTCTCGATTGCATCCGGCAGTTCGGAACGTAAAAGATCATGGGTTATAGAAGGTGATCCTCTGCAAAGCGTCGATAGTAGGCTAATTATAGTTGACACAGAAGCGCACGATTTCGCTTCTGGAGTCGGAATCGTTGATGCTGTGCTAGAAGGTGGTGGTGTCTTTGGATTTCCAGAAGTCGTTGCTATTGCTGTACCAGGCCCTGCTGCGTTCGACAACCTGGAATCGAGAAAAGTTAGAAACCTGTATTGCTCCACTGTAGCTTAGAAATTTTAGAAACGTACCTATGCAAAAGTTCAGAAACTAATCCATTTGATGCTAAAGGAGCGGGATCTGTGTTTCGACGTGAATATCTATCGGCGAGCGATGCGAAACAACGAAGCGCTCCATCGGCAACGTGTGCATCCTCGTGTCTGAGTAATGTTGACAGCGCTTCGACACAATCCGGCAATGATTTATCTTGAGGTTCTACTTTCCCGCACAGACGGGTCACTACGGCCATTGCGGAATGCAGGGTGTCTCGGTGAACACGAGCTCCGTGCTCTCGGATAAAGCACAAGGCACATGGAAGGCCACCAGCTTCGAATACAGCACCAGCTTCCCTTGCGCAAACGAGTTCCAACACCTATGGCAATAATGACATTACAAATGATTCTCAAATTATATTATGTAAGAAATTAATTCTTTGATACCTTTATGCACTGCTCAGCCAAGTCCCGACTAGTTCTGGAACCTAATCCAGCTCCGGATAGGCGACTGCAAATAGCTTTTACAGCACCCTCCATTGCTACTACTCTGCGTGTACATTCTGCAGAAACGTCCAAGTAATATGTGATGGCCCGAGCAGTCACTTCTAAGACACTATCCGGTGCAAGCTCATCCAAAAAAATTCTACATAATGCAGGGAGAAATGTGCGTGGAGGACAGCTGCAGTCAGAATAATAGTTTTAGTATAATCAGTTGATACGCATAACTTATACCTAACAATTATGATTTACCATTCAAAGCATCGATCAACATTATCAGACATAAGTAGTAACATGCACAATTGCTCTAGAGCAATTAACTGCATGTCCCTTTCATCCCCTTGGCCCATACTGAGCCACTCTAGTAGTGTCTCCGGATCAACATCAGCCATCTGTTTACAGGTTACAAAACGAATTAGTACTATAAATATTTTCATTATATCATTATTTTAAGACTAAACAATAATAATGAAACTTACATTGTAAGATTAATAGCACCAATTGAATGTATTTTAAACTGACAATCTGAAAACAAAAGAAAGTTAATGAAACTGGAAATGATTTGCAGTGTTGTTCTAGTTCTTGTTAATCCACTAAACAAAAATACAATTTTTCTGTTTTTGATAAGTGTCGATAAAAATCATGTATAATTCATAGAAAAAAAGATATTGGAATAGGTGAAATAGATGAACAAGAATGTCCATAGAGTCTCATGAAACATCCAGAAAAGTCATAGTCAACGTCTACTATTAAGAATTCCATTGACAGTAGTGTTCTCCCTTCCATGTTTCTTTATTCTCAACTAAACATGATTTCTGGGAAATTCAAAGCATGTAAATAATCATCGATAGTAAAGATTACATTCGGGAACCTGTTCGAAAATGTTCAGGAACATGATAAATAAAGGCACGTGGTTTCAAATTCGATATCGTAAAATTGTGTTCTGTCGTCGAGGAGGCACAAAGACAGGTGTAAAAAAATTTGTCATGACGACGGCCGAAAGCGTGAGTGCCTTTAATAACATCTCATGTAACCTTCGGCAGGTTCTGGAGAAACAGTTGTTACCGCGCATTTGCACTTTGAGACGTAACAAATGACTCGAAAAAACGATCGCATACAGCCACGGTAAATAAGGCTCGTTCGAGAGTAACGTACCGTTGTGCACAGTATTCCATTATTCGGAAGGGGTCAGGTCGCCATCCTTCCAAAGTCGTGTCGTTTTCCCACTGCGAGAAACAACGTAACCGTATCGTCGAGCTTGGTCCGTCAGCGACACAAAAATCTGATCGAACCAACGGACCAACAAACCACTCCACCGAACGAAAAGATTTCACTTTACCCTAGTGTCGTCGTATATTGTATTTCGCCATTTACGCGACGTTCAGGCTATAGTTCGATGTCACAACCATAGACAATTGTAGACGAATAATCTCGGTGTAAAAGCACTTAACAGTTCGCAGCGTCACTGGTGCCAGTCCTCTGGAATTAATCGCAAAAGAGGGAAATCTGTATATCATTTGAATTCATGTAGGTCCGATAAAATCGTTCGGAATTAGAAACCACTATTTGTCAGATATTGTGGTTAATTAATTGATCATTTCCAAGAAACATACCTTCTATGAAACACTGTCAATGTAACACGCAGCACTGATGACGCAAGTCTCAAATTCTATGGATTGATATCACAGCTAAATATCTTGTTTAAAGCTCTGAAAGTTAACATATATTGTTGAACGTTACGTTAATAAATTACAACGAGATTTATACAACGAAGCACACAATTTTCCACTCCATGCAAAGCTGTGTGTATTCTTGTAAATAAAATTTGTAATCCTAACCTTTCCAAAAGTCGTGTTTCTAATAGAGATTACTGCTTAATAGTCATTCACCCCGCTCCGACTACCTTAAAGTAACTAAACAAACTGAAAGCCCTCTTTGACACTGCCATACTTTATGTTCCGATTGCAGCGCCATCTAATTTACATCATTTGCATTGCATACATAATTAATAATACAGGGTAATGCAGGGAGAACATACGAGATCCACATATGTACATATTGTGATTGAAAAGCGTATATATATATATGTTTTGTTTGTTATTTTAATCAATAAAAAATATATCATTTTGATGTAATAACCTTAAGTACTGTATGTCACGTATAACAAAAGAAACAAAGTAGAAAATTTTATATATTAAATATAATCTGCACATTGAAAACTTTTGCCATCAGATGGCACTTTGTTCTTCCACTTATTATCGTACATTCTGAACTTAATTTGAATTTAATTACTTTTTCGAATACAATGCTGTATGAGATAATAAGTGGAAATTACTAATGATACTATAATATTCTTCAGAAAATTAAATTTATGCGTTCCAATTGTTTTTATCTTATATTAATACTATTATTAGCAAAATATCCTTATATTAACGCTATCAGCATTTATTCAAAAATATAAAATCATACTGAATAAAGTATTTTGAACATCAACAGGAATCAGACTTGTACTTTTCTGCAGGACAAAGCGTTAACGAATCTTCCTTTTATGTTGTACAGCTGAAATTGTTGTAAAACATTTTCAAACTTAATTCCTCTGTTACAGAAATGTAAGGGCATCATATACTTGTGTAGTTACCTTTCCTTTCTTCTATGACCTCTTTTCTCCTTTCTTTTAATTCTGTAGGTAAACTCTCCAGCATACTTTCAATGAAATTATCAAGAACTATCGATCTATTCATAGATGTTACCGGTGCTCTGCAAACGGGACATTCCCTTTTCTTCTTATTCCATGTAACAATACAATGATGACAAAACGTATGCATACAATTCAGAGTCGTTGCCTTCACAAATAACTCGGAGCACACGCTACAAGTCAATTGTTCATCCATTATATTGCTAACTTTATTGATTACACTTTCCTTTTGCTCCTCCTCTGTATTTATAGTAATTTGAGTGGGTAGAGTTAAGTCTATGGTATCCAAGATTTGAATTCCCGTTGGATCGTTTACAAATTCTAAAAATATGCAACTATCGTTTATGACGGCAGGCCTCAATTCGGAAGGACCAGCAACTACAAATAAAAAGTTCAAATTACTGTACTCTATACCCAACAATTTAATAGTCCTATTATAAAGTAGAGCTATTACCATCTGTGTGTGTTGCTTCAACTTCAGCTTCTTTTTCCTTTAATGCTTTTTCGGTCTTCTTTAACTTTTCCTCTAAAACTGTTTTTTCATTTAACAATTGTGCCTGTATACTTTTCTCCTCTTTAACTCTGTCTTCCATAACGCTTTTCCATTCCATCTGCTGCTCTTCTCTCCACTTTTCCATTTGTTCCCTCATTTTGATCTCCAACTCTTCTTTCTCCTGTTTACTCACATCCAATGCTTCTTGCCACTTTTGTTTCTCATCATTCAATCTCTTTTCGAATTGCACTCGTTCGTTTTCTAGTTTTTCTAACAAGTCAGCATACATTTTATGCAAATGCTGTTCTTGGATGTTACCGCTCTCTATTTTATTTTCCAAAATGTTAATTTGTTTTTTTAAGTCTTCCGTGTTTTCTTTAGCAGCACATTGTTGCATCAAAAGCTGTTCCAACTCTTGCTTCAATGTGTCTTGTTCCTTTTGCTTTGTCTGTAGTTTTTCTTTAAGAACTCTTTTCTGACATTCCTGACTTTCTGAAAACGTTTTCTGCTCAATAAGTACATTATCCAATATCTGTTCGTCTATCCTAGGCTTCTTGGTTCTGCGTTCCTCTTTGACAGCAAGAGTGAACATATATCTAAACCGACTGTATGTACTGAATTGTATAATATCTCCTTCATTGAGTCTTTTGTTCTCTCCGGATACAAGAGAAACATCATTGACAAATGTAGTGGAAGAACTAGTATCCTTAATAGTCCATTCTTCGTTCCCTTCACATCTGAAAATACAGTGCCTTCTAGATATCACTGCATCCAAAATGATTTCATCATTGTCTCTAGCACGACCTATCCTAAACTGTTCAAAGTTACAAATTTCATTAATAGAGACTGCGAAATAATGATCATAAATTGTTCTGGGAAAGTGCTTATTTGATACCTCGTTTTTATCAATGTGTATATTGTGAGTAGCACAACTATCTGTGTGAAGTCGTACCAAAATAGGCACAAGTGGTTTTGTATCAGAATCATCCAATGTTATTCTCTTTCCTGTCTTCGAAGATTCCATCGTTTAAAATCACACTTTTTAAAATAAGCGGGCTAAGGACAAACGTCGAATGACGTTCTTTCCCCTCCTATGTATTAACCTATCAATGAAATCTTTTTAAGTATATAAGATAATAATAAATAGAAGATGATAAAAATACACAAGAAGTAGTGCGACAAAATTTCGCGTGGTTACTTGTCAACAGGAAAATAGGAAATACACCAATACACTGTGAATCGGATCGATGGCGACCTCTTGCGGCATGTCCTTCATCTAAAATGATAAACCGTGATCGTGAGAAATTCTATTTTATCGGCAGCTGGATACGAAAATTAACAAAAATAGACAGTGACAAATTTACTGTATACATACATCTATCGTTTACTATTGTAGGAAGTAGATGACGTTAGAAGAGACTCTACGGGATTTATCTTAATTCAGATAATATTTATTTGATAGGTATATAATACATTGAATTTGCCAGCACATGTGAGAGAAACACACACTTCTCGGCGAATAATACTTGCTGTTTCCTTATAATTCGACACCCTCCAAATATTCCTATACTACTGCTACCGAACATACTTTTTTCCCCTCCAAGTTGTCCATGGAACAGAGTGTTTCAATTCTTTCGAATCGACATATGCACGTTCGATCGACTATTTATCAACGCACGGCAGTCGACACGACAAAAGTGATGCCTGTATTATCAACTGTAAACACGATATCGCAGCGAAAAACGGAGCGGTTAAAATTGAATCGCGTGGTCTAATGTCGACAATAAAATGCTTGATTTGCTAACAACAGGAGTTCGCGAACTCTTCGTCTCCTAAAAGTACATCTAGGTCCTATTACGAAATACCGCTATACACCAACCAAACATATTTACATTTTCCTAGAATTTGATCCAATTAAAAAAAAAAAGAAAACACTCAAAACTGCATCAACTGCGTAAACTGCAACGAACANATTTTCCAAAATGTTAATTTGTTTTTTTAAGTCTTCCGTGTTTTCTTTAGCAGCACATTGTTGCATCAAAAGCTGTTCCAACTCTTGCTTCAATGTGTCTTGTTCCTTTTGCTTTGTCTGTAGTTTTTCTTTAAGAACTCTTTTCTGACATTCCTGACTTTCTGAAAACGTTTTCTGCTCAATAAGTACATTATCCAATATCTGTTCGTCTATCCTAGGCTTCTTGGTTCTGCGTTCCTCTTTGACAGCAAGAGTGAACATATATCTAAACCGACTGTATGTACTGAATTGTATAATATCTCCTTCATTGAGTCTTTTGTTCTCTCCGGATACAAGAGAAACATCATTGACAAATGTAGTGGAAGAACTAGTATCCTTAATAGTCCATTCTTCGTTCCCTTCACATCTGAAAATACAGTGCCTTCTAGATATCACTGCATCCAAAATGATTTCATCATTGTCTCTAGCACGACCTATCCTAAACTGTTCAAAGTTACAAATTTCATTAATAGAGACTGCGAAATAATGATCATAAATTGTTCTGGGAAAGTGCTTATTTGATACCTCGTTTTTATCAATGTGTATATTGTGAGTAGCACAACTATCTGTGTGAAGTCGTACCAAAATAGGCACAAGTGGTTTTGTATCAGAATCATCCAATGTTATTCTCTTTCCTGTCTTCGAAGATTCCATCGTTTAAAATCACACTTTTTAAAATAAGCGGGCTAAGGACAAACGTCGAATGACGTTCTTTCCCCTCCTATGTATTAACCTATCAATGAAATCTTTTTAAGTATATAAGATAATAATAAATAGAAGATGATAAAAATACACAAGAAGTAGTGCGACAAAATTTCGCGTGGTTACTTGTCAACAGGAAAATAGGAAATACACCAATACACTGTGAATCGGATCGATGGCGACCTCTTGCGGCATGTCCTTCATCTAAAATGATAAACCGTGATCGTGAGAAATTCTATTTTATCGGCAGCTGGATACGAAAATTAACAAAAATAGACAGTGACAAATTTACTGTATACATACATCTATCGTTTACTATTGTAGGAAGTAGATGACGTTAGAAGAGACTCTACGGGATTTATCTTAATTCAGATAATATTTATTTGATAGGTATATAATACATTGAATTTGCCAGCACATGTGAGAGAAACACACACTTCTCGGCGAATAATACTTGCTGTTTCCTTATAATTCGACACCCTCCAAATATTCCTATACTACTGCTACCGAACATACTTTTTTCCCCTCCAAGTTGTCCATGGAACAGAGTGTTTCAATTCTTTCGAATCGACATATGCACGTTCGATCGACTATTTATCAACGCACGGCAGTCGACACGACAAAAGTGATGCCTGTATTATCAACTGTAAACACGATATCGCAGCGAAAAACGGAGCGGTTAAAATTGAATCGCGTGGTCTAATGTCGACAATAAAATGCTTGATTTGCTAACAACAGGAGTTCGCGAACTCTTCGTCTCCTAAAAGTACATCTAGGTCCTATTACGAAATACCGCTATACACCAACCAAACATATTTACATTTTCCTAGAATTTGATCCAATTAAAAAAAAAAAGAAAACACTCAAAACTGCATCAACTGCGTAAACTGCAACGAACAAAGATACCGTTATAGAACGAAAAATAATATGATACAGGATATAGTGGGTCCAAGAATCGTACAATCGGCAAACTCCTGCTGCAAGCAAACATTGTTCATCGCAACGTACTCTTTTTCGCCCATAAAAGAGTGTCGCGACTGTTACATCTGCCTTGATAAAATGTCAAACGTTATAAAAACTCATTGTTCGCAAAGAGTCCCAGACACGAGACTTGTGATGGTCGACACGTGGACTGTAGTAGGCAAGAAGAAAAATTATTGAATCGATCCGAATGCGACGAACCACGATAATCGTACTGTTCGGTAAGCTGCATATGTAATATTACATATGCGAAATATACGCGTGTATATATCTCAACGACGAGTTAGTGTTGGTCGTGAGAGCACAAATATTTGTTTTCCCCCTTTCGTTTCGTCTCGCTATTCATATTTGCTCTTTCCTTTTCACTTTTCATCGAGGATCATCGCTTTGACTGACGGTCGTTGTCTATGTACAATGTCTGCGATAAAGACTAATTAATTTATAAACATCGTTGTTGTTTATGTACAGACGAAATATAAACGCATTATACATTATAAAACGGACATGTGTAAAAGTGTCGCGAATCAAACAAACACAGTGTACAGTTCTCAGAGTCGAGGCTGTCGAATTATGCGCCGGTTCTTCAGCCAGAACCGGCGCAAGCGTTTCGCGGTTAATTAAGCTAGATGCTTTGCCAGCGAAACGATTGTACGGACAATCATTAAAAGGAGGGTTCTTGGCACCCTCGAGCCCCTCGAAAAGCCTCGAGGTCTCTGATCGAACCCTGCGCACACCTGTGTGACCCGATTCGATTCGGTTCTACGAAACGCGTGGCTTCGCGAATCGCCATCGGTAGCCCGTGAACATCCTACCATCGATCAATCTTCCAACGAAAACGATTCGATAATCTCTACGCGCACTTTTCTCTATTTTAAAGGAGACTTCTCTCTTTGAACCCCCTTCCGGCGAATACAGGGTTCGCCTAAGCGTCCATCGATACAACAACAACTCAAACTTGCCTACAGTCCTACCTCGGTAAAATTTCACAGAACCATGTCTTTACAAATAAGGGATGATTGTTACGGACTCGAACGAACCCTGTACGTCGAATGGATCCGTCACAGACCTAATCCACAAACGGTGTCATCTCATCTACCCCGTTGGTTATAAATAATCCTGACAACAAAATCAAGTTGCTGCGGAACCGGTCAACGAATACATTGCAAGATCCGTTCACGCTTCGAAGCAACCGAAAACCATGGACTAATTACGAGCATGGACACGGAAGGCGGCCGTGTCGAGAAACAAAGATACACGTCGAAGAAAAGTCAGCTCGGCGAGAAGAGTCACTGTTCGGAAAAGAGCACACTTGCACACTGTAAAAATTGTCTCTAATCTAAACGCTCGTGCTCGTGGCTTCCAGGAGACGATCACCAGCAATCGAAGCATGCTGAAGCTATCGCGTTTTAAGCTCTCGTAACAGCAAACTCGTCGGACCTCCTCGCCGGGGTCCGGTATAGTAAACGCGTATCCGACTCGATTCCTCGCGGATCTACGCCTACGCCGATCGCGATCGGATACATACAAGTATAACAGGTACAGACGGTAATAGAAAAAGGTGCGCGTACATAGAACGAGTTCCGGCGACGAGAGTGATCGAGCGATCATCGAGCGGATGATCTATACGCGGCGTTTGCGTTTGGGGCTCTGGATCGCGACAAAACGAAACGTCCACGAGGACGTTACTTGATCGGTTTGCCCCAGGCGAACTGTATGGGCAGCGGCGGGATGTCGCTGCTGGTCGACGACTCGTCCTCGCTGCTAGTTGCTGATGTCTCCTCGGAGATCATCGCCTCGCCGCCGGCCTCCTGCGGCCTTTGTCCTCCGCCGCAGTCGTCGGCGACAGCGGCAGCGGCTGCGGCTGCTGCAACCGCGACAGCGACCGCGCAATTCGACGAGGACGAGGAGGACGAGGACGAGGAGGTCGACGAGGACGAGGACGAGGGGTCGCTCCTGGGTCTTCGCCGGGGGATCGGGGTGGAATTGCATGATGGGGACCACGCGGACTCCTCAACCCGCGTGGGATCGGTCACGGAGATGCTCTTCGACCTAGCTCTCATGTCTACCGATGATCTTCTGGGCGTCAATCTCAGCGATCCCTGTCTGGACACGGATGCGGAATCCGGCCTACTGATTTTCGAGGGCGTGGCCAGCGACCCGTCCGCGCTGCTGCCGCTCTTTAGCATCTCGTCGTCGATCTCCAGGGTCCAGGAGACCGAGTCGCCCTTCTCCACCATGAATTTCACCATCGAGGACGACTGGGGACCGTTCTTGTCCGGCGAGAGAGTGTGCTCGACCTGCTCCGGGCCCAGGGACCGCGACAGCCTAGGCGTCAGATTCGCAAGAACGGTCACCACCTCGTTTTTTTGACGCAGCCTCCACTGCAGCTCCTCGTTCCGCTGCGCCAGACGTTTATTCTGCTTCGAGATCTGATGGATAGACTCATGCAGCACCTCGTTTTCGTGGGCGATCTGCCTCTCCAGGGACTCCTTACACTGGATCTGTGCCTTCAAATCTTCGCACCGAGCTTCCAGCGTGTCCACCCGCTGCTGCAACGCGTCTTTGTCCTCGATCTCGCGCCTGCTGTTGTCCAGTTCGGATCGCAACAGAGCGATCTCCTGGCTGCGGATCTCCAGCACCGAGCGCAACGATTCGACTTCCGCCGTCAACGCCGCTCCCTGATCGTGTACCACCGACCGTCGCTTCAAGTCCGCTTCCCTGCGTGTGTATTCCGCCTCTTGTTCTGCTCGCAATTTTGTTAACGCGGCTCGATGTTCCTTTGCGGCCTCGCTCAACCTGCGTCTCTCTTCCTGCAAAGCCGCCTCCAGCGTCGCGGCCTGCTCCGCGTGTCGAGCTTCCACTGAAAATGAAAAGCGTATGTAAGCATCTTTATACCCTTGCAGTTCACGCCATAGGGATGCTCTTGGTCAACTCCATGTAGTAGGATAACGAGAATACCTTCACAGGTGTGTCTGAGAAGTCGTTCGGATAAAAGAAACGGGAAGAAAAACAGAGATGAACCGAGGGAGAGAGGCTAGGACGAATTCGTCGAACGTGCCAACCTATAATTAACCTCGATGAACGTTACGTGGTCACTAAATCGAGAGAGAAAGAGAAAGAGAGAGAGAGAGGTGTTAGTGATGGAGCGTGTGCGTGGCCGCTTTTGAAAATTCTTCGAGCCGGGCCGAGTCGGACAGTGCGTGGGCCACCGGCCGTCACGCGGATTTTAATTAACAATTGCTCCACTTTAAACCTCTGCCACCGACATCGGAACCATTAAACTTGTTACCAGGAGAATATCATTATCATATATACGACACTGTGCCTGGCACGAAGCGGATGAGCCGTCGCTGCCGATTCTAATGCGAAACCTCCACAAATTGACCCTTAACCCTACGTCTTGAAGAACGTTATTCATTTCTTTGCAACTCGAAACCAGAAATCACCAGACTGCGGATTTTCGTGTGAAATAAAATTTTTTTAAACAATTGTTAAGCGTTGCAAGTATTTCGGAACTGTTCGGATGTTCCTACAGTTTTGCATTTGATCTACTAATTTCTGTCGCAAAAGCATCAAATCCGCAGTGTAACACTGCCAAATCCGTCTCGTCTGTCTTTAGCGAGTGATCAAAAGCCTCTTCGCTTGGTTGAACCGTGCAAGGAAAGCCGGGGTAATTCGTGGCTACAAAATCGAAAAGGAAACAATGTGAAAACAATAGTTCGAAATGGTTTCGGGGGGGTGTGGAGTAACGGGGCTGTGTAAATTACATCATGAGTAGCGTGTTCCACGCGGTGACGAACCAGAAGGCTGAGAAAGAAAGACGAATAAAACAGTTGGCAAGACTCACGATCTTCACGAAGCTGGTCCAAGGCTCTGCGATGATTCTCCCTCTCCGACTCGAGCCTCTCTTCAATGCCGAGGTTTCTAGTCCTCAGCTCTTCGATTTCCGTGCAGCTCGACATCCATTCTTTTTTCATGTTCTCCAATTCCTTTTTGAGCTTCGGGGTAGAAAATGCGTCCAACTGCGTGCGACAAGCAACGATATATACCGGTTAAACGAATTAAAAGTGTCCGCCGGAATGCCGGAGACTTCTAGGATTCTTTTTGGTACGATCTAGGCGAACTAGTTTTCTGCTTTACACCGCATACTTTGCGCAGATTGCGAATTCAGTTCGGATAAGGTGACTTAAGAATTAACCCTTCGGCGATGACGTCGGTGTCGAATTCTTTAAAACGTATCAGAGCCAGATTGTTGGTCCCTTCCACCGTAAAACTAGTTACAGTCGTGGACAACATTTTTAAAATCGAACCAGAGGGGGGTAGAGATTTCGTAGGTGTTAGTTTGCATTACAAAATAGCAATTAGGTTAAAAAATTGACAAAACGTCCGTCGTTCCGGGCGAGTTAACAGTTAAGGGATGAAGGCAACGTACCTCATAGGCCAAGTACTGCACGGCGACGGACAGGGCTTGGACGACTTGCTCGGTCGTCTGGTTTCTGATGTTGAAGAGACCGTCGGTTTGCGCGGCCTGGTCCCGGGTCTCCAGGGACGCCCTGCTCACCACATAGCCGTGATCTTTGGTCTCCCGATCTGCAATTAAGGTCACCGGTCCCATCACCATCGGGATCGACTCTCAAGTCCTCGGTTTCGACTTCGCAGTTGTAAACACGATGATCTCCGGTTGGCCTCTCATCGCTTGGATAAACGCAACCCCGTCAGGTGCTGGGTCAGGGGGTCATCGTCGAGTTTCGTCGAGCGGACCCGGACCGGTGAAACGCGACGAGAGTCCTCGAGGAGTCGGGCCCACTGTCCCCGGTCATGTTCGCGGCCCGGCGAAGAAAGTCGAGCGCGGCGAGCGGAAAACTCGTTTGCGAACAAGCAGAAAGAGAGAAAGAGGGAGAGAGAGAGGGAGAGAGGAACACGGTTGGAAAGTCGGGCTACCTGTTTCACCCAGAGATCCTCGTTCTCAAGGCGCCGCAAGCGAATAGGAGAAAACCCGGCTGCGCCCCGCGGGAAAATTCTCGGCAGGACCGGAGCGCGTCACCGGAGGAGGACCAGCATCCTCCTACCGTTCGCGCCGACGTGAAAGCACGCGACGGAAAACGAAGCCAGGGAACGCGTTCAAGATCGACCCGGTTCAGTCTCTGGGTTAAGGTCGAGTGCACGAGACCGCCGCACGGGAAATCCAAGGTGCTCCTCGACCCGACACCCTAACGGGAACATCGAAACTTCCTGGAGACCTCTCGCCCCTCGACTCTCCCCTCACGGCGTTTCCGACGATGCCCAACCGCCGCCAAATTCCGCCCCGCGAAACACAACCCCCGTAAGACCCCGCGCACTCATCGCTACAGTCTCGAGACGACACTTCGCGATATTCCTCGACGGTGCACAGAAGATAAGCGGGAACAATCCGGGAGCAAAGCGAGCACGGAGAAGCCGCGTCACGTCCAATGAAATATATTTTTAGCCGATCGCGAGCAGATTCGGTCCCTCAAGACGCTCGTCGGATGTCTAGCCGCGAGAACGTCCGATCCAGCGATACCTCGGCGAAAGATCTAATCGGGTCCGTCATTTGTAAGCGATTTGCCGAGCAAGTCCGCACTTCGACTGAATTAGCACGAGCCACAGGCTGCTTCGCGGACCGACGTATCCCTCCTTCCGTCTCTGCGACGGCCACTCCTACCACCACCTTAAAACGAGGTGTGCTACCTCGTCGGAGGAGCACACAAGAAGACGACGGGCACACGAGGAAAACCGTGTACGACCCACAACTGGCTACGCGTTTCCAGAACAGCGTCCAAGACGGACAGTTTCACTTAATAGCTCGGAGCCAATTTCGTTGGACACGTGCCTTTTTAGGCAGGTGCACGAGGACTCGCGAAGCAACTTCGCGAATTATAGGACTTGTACGTTGAAGTACCGCGAAAACTGTACCGGCGAGTAAATTAGTCTCTTCGAGTAAGCGGGGGGAACAAGAAAAGTAACGAGTCGACTAACTAGTCAGGTAAGCAAGCCCGAAGAAACTCGACCAATCGAACTGCGATATGAAACAGCTAAATACAGAAGGAATTGCGCAAGAGACGAAGAATTCGAGTGCCACGGTCCCTAATCTGGAAAGCCTGTGCTAACCAACAACACGCTTTGGAAAAATTCCTGCGCCTAAAGCCGAAATCGCAGCAGCGATTATCTCGTTGGAAGAACGAGCCGCGAGTAAAAGCGTAAACAACGGTAGCAGACGTGGTAAAAGGTTTTCTAGTTTTATGGGAAAAAGAGTGCCGGTATCTAGACTGGAGTACCCCGTTAGCGGCTGTTTCTCTTATTGTTCCCGACTCGAGAAAGTCCTCGGGTTCGGATTTCTATCGCTCGCGAGAGCCGAGCGATGAATAAAAGAAGCTGGATGCGACCAAGGGAGAAGAAGGAAGGAGGCGGCGGCTTCATTTCGCTGGAAAATTAACCGGCAAACGCCACTTAATATCCGACTGGCGCGGCCGATTCTATCATTGCCCGCGTCGCGGCCAGTTTTATTGGCTCGTAAAGTACCCTCGGATCGGCGTGTTTCGTCTGCCCGCGGTGGAATAAATCGGCTCGGCACGGCTCGGCTCGGCTCAGCGCGCAGAGCCCGATGAATTATTTCTCGGAGCCGTGCTCCGAATAAATTCACTTTTCCATTTGGAATCGCTCGACCCTAGATGGTCGCCCGGGCCCGTAATCGTGCGAGACAATACGTGTCCGGGGCCCGGCCGGCCGAGGATAATGATCGACGATCGGATAACGCTCTTCCGCCGCGCAGGACCTCGAAACCGATTGCCCATTCCGCTCGCGGCAACCCTCGACGATATTTCGGTCGGTGCGCGCGGAGTCGCGCGAGGAATCTAATTGCCGATGCTTTACAATCTTCCAAAGAGGATTCGCGGATATCTCTCGCAGATCCTTCCCAGCCGGCTCGGCTCGTTCATGAATGATTAATGGGGACACTAAATTAAAACGAAAGGAAGTAGAAGACCGTGAAGAGCCTCGTAGAAACTCGACCCGATACGGGATAACCGGGCTTTCTAGGACGCGGACGGTCATTGATAATGATCTTCGCTTCGGTAATTTGTTCCAGATAACACGCTCGCGTGCTAGACCACCTCCGAACATTTCGGAGGAGCGTATTGTTTTTTCCATTGTTCACCGAGGGCAAGCTTGCGCGTACCACGACGCGACGACCAATTGGAATTTATGTGTATACCTGCGTCGGCTCGACTGGCTGAACCATGCTTCTTGCTTCGAGCAGCTCGAAAGTAGGCGGGGTGAAATTCTGAAGACGAATACCAGTTTGTTCAACATCGTTGTGCGATCCTTATATTGTTATTATTTATTAGGCACCGAGCTGGGAGGATCCATTAGCGACGCGAGTTATTTATGGGGGTGACGGTATTGTTCGCTCGAATATGAACATGAATTTCTACGCTGATCTAGTATAGTCCAGTTAAATGTAATCGATGTTGTACAACTTGACCTTCGAATGTTAATTTGATCCGATAAAATACTGCGATTCTATGCAATTTTCGAGGTGGTCAAAATATTAAGAGGACAGCATAAATGGGCGAAAGAAATAAAAGATAAACGGCAAGTATCAAGAATTCGAATTGAAGATAGTTGTCGAAAAATTGCTGGAAATTTGCAAATTCGAGGCTCGATGAAGACCCGAGAGGCCCCACAGGGTGCGGGGCCGTGCGATCTTCGGAAGCTCTTCGGCTCGGCGAGCCGATCGCGTGTTCGAAGCCTGCATAATCTCCCAGCGAATGCGTAAATTCCGGCGATTACAAAAGAAGTGGCCGGTCGGAGGATTACTTTCGCCGATACGGGTGCGTTGGAGCTTCGCTCCGTGAAGGACTTAGCCGGGGATTTTCCAAAGACTCTCGGAACCTTAATACGGGTGCACCGTTTTGGCCCAGACCTGGTCAGGGCCCAGTGAAAGCGACTTTCTTCTATAGGACGGCCACGATCCGCCACGCGTGCGAGACTCGGAGAGTACGCGGTGAAACGACGGAGGATTTGTGTTTCACGGCGTACACGCACCGTGAAACAACCGTGGGACCTTTTTAGAAACCAACCGGCCGCCGGCCGATCAATTAGAAAGCTCGTCCCGACGTTTCCTCCAGCTATTATCAACGCGGGAACGCGATAGGCGTTTGCGTACGCGAGCCGGTTGTAGTCGTTCAGGAGCCACTCGCCCGGCGAATGCTGATCTCTCTGCGGGCGAGTCGAGCGGATTGCAGTCGTTAAGGGGCGGCGCTCGGCCAGGACAAACGCAATGGATATTTAAACTTGAGGACACGATGGGTTTCTATAGTAATAATCGCGCGATCGTTTGTAGCAGCGTACTTTGACGAGTCTGGCTCTTACGTATAAACAATAAACATTTATATCCATTCTCTTCCAAGAAATTCATACGAACGAAGATGTTCTAATAAATGTCGAGGGTCCGACGACATGTGCACCGACTCGTACCGTTGGGCAGACTACAGACAATTGCGAAAAGATAAAGCAGAATAATTCACAGTTGCATAGAAAGAAGACCGAGCACGATCCCCTAATTCAGCAACAGAGAAGAACGTTGCAAGATTGCGATGATCGCGCGAAAATATCAATGTAATACCTTTCGACGCTGTTGTGGAACTGTGCTTCGTCGGGACGGTGCTCGTTAATCTTCTTGTAGCCGGCTTTCGCGTCGCTGACGGACTCTTCTCTGAAATAATAAAAAAAAAAAGAATAGACACTAGCCGCGTTAACGAGTCGAGAGAAAGAAAGAGAAAGAGAAAGAGAAAGAGAGAGAGAGAGAGAGAGAGAGAGAGAGAGAGAGAGAGAGAGAGAAAGAGAGGCGAGGAGAGTACNGCTCGAAAGTAGGCGGGGTGAAATTCTGAAGACGAATACCAGTTTGTTCAACATCGTTGTGCGATCCTTATATTGTTATTATTTATTAGGCACCGAGCTGGGAGGATCCATTAGCGACGCGAGTTATTTATGGGGGTGACGGTATTGTTCGCTCGAATATGAACATGAATTTCTACGCTGATCTAGTATAGTCCAGTTAAATGTAATCGATGTTGTACAACTTGACCTTCGAATGTTAATTTGATCCGATAAAATACTGCGATTCTATGCAATTTTCGAGGTGGTCAAAATATTAAGAGGACAGCATAAATGGGCGAAAGAAATAAAAGATAAACGGCAAGTATCAAGAATTCGAATTGAAGATAGTTGTCGAAAAATTGCTGGAAATTTGCAAATTCGAGGCTCGATGAAGACCCGAGAGGCCCCACAGGGTGCGGGGCCGTGCGATCTTCGGAAGCTCTTCGGCTCGGCGAGCCGATCGCGTGTTCGAAGCCTGCATAATCTCCCAGCGAATGCGTAAATTCCGGCGATTACAAAAGAAGTGGCCGGTCGGAGGATTACTTTCGCCGATACGGGTGCGTTGGAGCTTCGCTCCGTGAAGGACTTAGCCGGGGATTTTCCAAAGACTCTCGGAACCTTAATACGGGTGCACCGTTTTGGCCCAGACCTGGTCAGGGCCCAGTGAAAGCGACTTTCTTCTATAGGACGGCCACGATCCGCCACGCGTGCGAGACTCGGAGAGTACGCGGTGAAACGACGGAGGATTTGTGTTTCACGGCGTACACGCACCGTGAAACAACCGTGGGACCTTTTTAGAAACCAACCGGCCGCCGGCCGATCAATTAGAAAGCTCGTCCCGACGTTTCCTCCAGCTATTATCAACGCGGGAACGCGATAGGCGTTTGCGTACGCGAGCCGGTTGTAGTCGTTCAGGAGCCACTCGCCCGGCGAATGCTGATCTCTCTGCGGGCGAGTCGAGCGGATTGCAGTCGTTAAGGGGCGGCGCTCGGCCAGGACAAACGCAATGGATATTTAAACTTGAGGACACGATGGGTTTCTATAGTAATAATCGCGCGATCGTTTGTAGCAGCGTACTTTGACGAGTCTGGCTCTTACGTATAAACAATAAACATTTATATCCATTCTCTTCCAAGAAATTCATACGAACGAAGATGTTCTAATAAATGTCGAGGGTCCGACGACATGTGCACCGACTCGTACCGTTGGGCAGACTACAGACAATTGCGAAAAGATAAAGCAGAATAATTCACAGTTGCATAGAAAGAAGACCGAGCACGATCCCCTAATTCAGCAACAGAGAAGAACGTTGCAAGATTGCGATGATCGCGCGAAAATATCAATGTAATACCTTTCGACGCTGTTGTGGAACTGTGCTTCGTCGGGACGGTGCTCGTTAATCTTCTTGTAGCCGGCTTTCGCGTCGCTGACGGACTCTTCTCTGAAATAATAAAAAAAAAAAGAATAGACACTAGCCGCGTTAACGAGTCGAGAGAAAGAAAGAGAAAGAGAAAGAGAAAGAGAGAGAGAGAGAGAGAGAGAGAGAGAGAGAGAGAGAGAGAGAGAGAGAGAGAAAGAGAGGCGAGGAGAACGCGAGTACCGTTTCTTGCAAACCGTTTTGCTGTCCGCGCGAGATAATGCGAACCAGCCCCGGAACCTGTTACGTGAAAACTTCGAGCGCGACAACGAACGTCTTCTAGGGGAATAATAAGAGGTAAATCGGCGAAGACGAGCGACCGGAAACGTAAAGTTGTATTTTTACGCAACCGAAAAGTTTCACGATTAATCCTCTTGCATCAAGAAATACTTGACAATGTGAATTACATCGAAATCGCTAAAACCCTGGCGCTGTGTTGCGACAAAAAATGGACGTTTGAGTAGTCAAACGAAAACTTGTTTAACAGAGAATACAGTCGAGAATTGTTATTTCATTAATCTGGACAACCATTCGCGAAATCACGACACAAAGTAGACCAGACGTTGAAAGAAGGCTAAGAAACTGTTAGAAAAATTGTTAACAGATAAATACCGTGAAATCTGCGAAAACCGGAGGTCACCATGGTTATAACAAGTCCTTAGGGCTCGATCACCCTGACCATCGACGCACAGTTGTAGATCGCTACTAACGATGCCGATCACGAAGAACGCGCTAGCGTAGCGGAATATTATGCTCGAAGAACGTGTGTGCAACGTTGCACTGGACGAATGCGATTGAAACGGAGAAAATCGAGGAGTCTACGAGGCGAAGGTCTAGAGACAACTGAACGACGAGCGATGTTCTTGCCCCGTCCGACAGGGTCCTTCATGGAGGGGTTTAAATTGGCCGTGGTAAGGGATGCATCCGTTACGATTCTGGCCTGTACCGAGGGACAACGAGCGGCGACGGTGACAACCCACGCCCACGGTTAATTATCCTAGCTGCGTCGAAGCGTTGGTTCTGCCTCGACACCAATGCTCGCAAATTCCTACGGGACCATGAACGACGAATGTTCCCTCGATTCTAGATTTCCTCAAACAGTGCACTTGCACACAAGTGACTCTTAACAATACAATACAAATAAAATATGTCAAAATGTTTCCAACAATTTCGTTTTACGACTCTTCCTACATACTACGCAGTTTCCAATCGTAACGCTCGACGCCGAGCCGAGCTAACAAAAATTGTGTTTTCATTTAGAGCGTAATTATTGTCCTGGCTGTTTTATTGGACGCGCGAGTGTCCCTGTCAATTACGTTCATCGGTCGTATACAGCGTGGAAAGGTATTCTAGTATCGTACCGTTTTAAAGGCTTCGCGGGTAAACCAGAAAACGATAAGACGCAATAGATCGGCTCGCCGAAACCGGCGTGGCCGGTTGCCAACAATACTTTTCAATGCTATGCTTCCCACTGAAAATAGATCCCTCCTGGTGGTTCGCTATCGACGCGCCGATAAACTATCGAATGCCTGGCTCTCTCTATTCCGATAGCCGTGCGGAACACGGTTGTATAGGGGCAGGCGTTCAAGGAAAAGCTACATTCTATCCTGGTCGCATTGGGTCACCAACCGGAAACACGCAACGGTGCCCTCGACCTTTCGTTTCCTCCGTTCAATCAACGAGAGGAGACATTTTAATACAGCGACTGTTATTGCGCCGCTTGTTGCCTGATCGCTCGCGAACCATTTCAGAGACCGTTCTCTGTCCAACGCCCCTCTCTGGCTCCACTACCAAACTTCTGATTTCACAATCATCGAGGAAGCTCTCTATATATACACTCTAGAAATTGCTCTGATCAACGCCAGTCCTATCGCTTTGACGGTATTAATACAATGTGCTACAGATCTCATAGACTACGCAAGTTCCAGATATGCTGGATACCTCTTATAGAAAAGACGCTACATATTAGTTAGAGTTTAGAACATTTAGACTCTACGTTTACGCAATTTACAGTTCCAAAAGATACTAAAACGTCTGGGCATTCCATATTGACCAGCCTAGCGCATTGTATACAAAATCTATACGTATAAACATATTTTGCAGCTCTAACAAGTACAAGCGGGCCTCTGTATGGAGGTCAATGCATTTTTATGCATACACGTTGGACAGAGAGCGATCTGTGACCGATTTGCGGCACGTCCGCGTCGATTGGCAGAGGACCGAGCATTACACGCCAGTGAATGGGGCCCCATCGATATGCCTGCATAGTTTCAGCCGCATTAGCCTAGAACGCTAGCAGCGTGCCGTCGCGTGCGAGGAACGTGTCCGCGTGATTCGGGCCCCAACAGGCCTCTTGCAGGACCGCGGGGCCGTCTCTCCGGGTCCCTCGAAACTCACCGAGGCTGACGGTCGAGATCTCCACGCAGCTCTTCTTATTGTCGAAGCTGTTGACGCGATTCTGCAGGCTGCCGCGTCCGTTCGCCACCATTCTTCTGGGCGGAGTCGTCGACGTTGGTGACCTCTCTGCAATGGACAAGAACAGAGAAAGAGGTGTCAGTAAAAGAGCTTGATACGCGGGAGGGACAAAAGAACCGCCGCTTTTTTACGTGGCCGGCTTCCCTTTGTGACTATTTATACCGCGGGCGAAAACAAACGAGGACGATGATGCGTCGCCGTTACGTGTCTGTTTCTCCTGCGATCGCGCACCGCGAAAACGGCGAGGAAACGCCAAGAAGACCGGGGTCAAGGTGTCTCGCGCGGATGTCGCATTATTTCCATTATTTCTACTCCCCCGCGGTTCATCGACCTGTGTGTTCGGTGGTCTCCTCTGATATCGTTTCCTGCATCGTCGGAATTCGCGCTCCGCCGCGGCCGAAGCGGAACCCCCGCGTCAACGGGAGCTAAGTTTGAACGTGCTCCCGATTACGCCGACAGGCAAAAGAAAACGTTGTTCATTGTGTACACCGAGGAACGCGGCGGGAACAGCGAGAGGAAAAACGCGACGCCTCGCATTCTCGTTAGCGCCTAGCCGGCGACGGCGAGACCGCTAAACGATCTCGGGCCTAGAAGCACGAACATTGCATCCGCTCGGCTTCAATGCTTCGACGATCGATCGACCATTAATACGTTGCACGAGCGACGATTGTTCCGCCGGGTTGAACTCGGGTCGCTGTGGACCAGGGACAAAAAAACCTCACAAGAGTCGTTCGAGAATGTGGTTAATTATAACGCCGTTGGCGAGCAGAACGAGCGAGTTCTCCGAACGTTTTCCAGGTTCTTGACTCCGGGTACGGGGTCAATATTGACCCTGGAGGAAAATCATCATGGTATTCATTGGAAAGCATAGATGACGGTGTAGCGGATGAGATCGAACATGTTTTTTATACGTTTCCTACAAGATTCTTGTGCTTGCACCAAGAACCGTGGGACATTCGACGGTCGCTCTAACGACTTGCTCCTGACTCTGCAGTCGCTGAAACGATTTTTACACGAGGACGTCTCCTCTAACGGAATTTCATGATTGCCGCTAATGGCTCTAGAGTCGATGCATTATCTCGGACGAGTCCGCGTGGCCCTGCTCGCTAATTACTCCTGTTCTCGAACGCGCACGAGCCGACAAGTCGAACCACTTTCCGCAAGCAGGCAGGACCGGCCCCCGGCCAACAATGATCGATGGCCACCGTGAAAGAGAAATCCCTGGGCCGAGAGTTGTGCGTAAGTAGGGTACCTTTGATCCTTCTCCGTAACGTTTTAGACTCGGTCAAGAGAAACCGTTCGACCTATCTACCTTTTCGAATGGCTCTGCAGCAGCAGCAGCAGCAGCCGCCGAGTGCCGAGAGAACCGAGAGAGCCGGTCGACCGTTCGTGTTCGCGTCGCCGGCAACTTTCTAGCGTTAAATGAACCACGTAGAAAAAGACAGGTGGCGGATAGCGACCTCTCCTCCTTTTGCCCTGCTCCCTGACTCCCTCTTCTCTTTGTAAAAACGAGATTCAAAGATTTGCCGGCGACAACTCCGGGACCTGTGTTTATTACAGTCGGTTCGCGTCGGTCTCCTCCGGGCAGTCAGTCCGGCATAATGAACCGAGGATTCCTCTCGATGAAAGGCGATTCCGACTCCCGGAGTGGCCAGGTGCGCGTCGTAAATTCGAAGGCATCGTAAACCGTCGATTCGAGGAGAGAAGGTATCGGAAAGGTAAAGCTAGAAGAAGCGGAAGATGGCTGCCGCGCCACGGTCTACGGACTCTACCTCGCTTGAAGCTGCCGAGCCGCATTTTCGCCGAGTCTCTGACGAAATCTGCCCGGAGAGCCGGCCTACCCTTCGATCCCTGTTGCCCCATTTTCGAGGTCCGGCTTTCACCGTCGATCAACGGCCGGTCCGGCAATGGAGCTCATGTTCTCGTTGCCACCTGGGCCTTCGGAGCCCTCTTCACCCCATGCTGTCCGCGTACGATCCTCTCCAGAACGTCGTGTCCTCGATCAAGCGGCATCCTCCTCTTCCATCGATCGCGAGCTGAGCGCGGCGGCACTGCCGGTGATCGAGAGAGCACTGCGCACCGACGAGACACCGCGGTTATACTGATTAGGGGAACACGTATAGGAGATATATATCTCGGCAGCACACGGGGCACACAGAGAGATATCGAGACGCGGAGCGGCTTGACCCGATTCCTGGTCCTCCTATGCGGCGTGTCTTTCACCGGCTGGATCGGCCCGCGTCCTCAGCCATGCGGACTGCTGCTCGACAACATCTGATTCCGTTGCGTAAGGTGGCGGTGAGAGACCGGGTGCTCCGGGACCGGTGGTCGTCGGCCTTGGACGAGGCGCACGTGGTCTCGCGGCCGGGTCTGCACCTGTCTAAAACGGGTGGGGAGCCGCCGAAGGACGTGAACACACCGCGCACAGGCCGGAGATAGGTGGCCCGAAGAAAGGCAATGCCGGAAATAAACCGACCGGTGCCGTTGACCCGCGGACAGAAACCCGCGGCGAACGAGCCGAGAACGATCCGAAGAGGCCCGGAAAACCCGAGGAAGCCGAGAGTCCGGGAGCACCAAGCACGGACGACGGCCGGTTTCTAGGAGAACGAGACGCTAGGGGACCACGAGGCCGAGAGGTACCCGCGATAACGGTACCACGGGGAACTTTCATTGGGGGCCGCCGAGAGGGGGGCAGGTGATCCGGTCCCGGAGCACAGATTCCACCTCCGAGTGCACCGAGTGCAGCGGCGCGCCAGCATGCTGCGAGTCCTGCTGCTCCCTTTCGATCCTCGGGATCTGACAAGCTGGAAATCAGGTCACGTCGGCACGTCGGTGCATCCGCGCTCGCGCAGATCCTCTTCCCCGAACACCGGATCAGAAGTTCGAGAGATGTTCCACGACGGCTAAGACCACGCCGAAACGGCAGAGAGAATCCGGGAGGAGGAGATTACGGAAGATCTCCGCAGTCTCTCGCCGATGCACTTTGCACCGTCACCTTGCGGCATTCACTGACGACGATGCACCGGCTACGCTCAGCCTCGCTCTCGCCTCCTGTCCTCTTCTAGCGTGGACCACGTACGCTTCTCTCGAACCCGTCTACGCTCCCTCGATGAAATCGGTCAGTCCCACGAATAGGGCACGGGGAGAGCAAGAGAGAGAGAGAGAGAGAGAGAGAGAGAGAGAGAGGAAGAGAGAGAGAGGAAGAGAGANGATGAAAGGCGATTCCGACTCCCGGAGTGGCCAGGTGCGCGTCGTAAATTCGAAGGCATCGTAAACCGTCGATTCGAGGAGAGAAGGTATCGGAAAGGTAAAGCTAGAAGAAGCGGAAGATGGCTGCCGCGCCACGGTCTACGGACTCTACCTCGCTTGAAGCTGCCGAGCCGCATTTTCGCCGAGTCTCTGACGAAATCTGCCCGGAGAGCCGGCCTACCCTTCGATCCCTGTTGCCCCATTTTCGAGGTCCGGCTTTCACCGTCGATCAACGGCCGGTCCGGCAATGGAGCTCATGTTCTCGTTGCCACCTGGGCCTTCGGAGCCCTCTTCACCCCATGCTGTCCGCGTACGATCCTCTCCAGAACGTCGTGTCCTCGATCAAGCGGCATCCTCCTCTTCCATCGATCGCGAGCTGAGCGCGGCGGCACTGCCGGTGATCGAGAGAGCACTGCGCACCGACGAGACACCGCGGTTATACTGATTAGGGGAACACGTATAGGAGATATATATCTCGGCAGCACACGGGGCACACAGAGAGATATCGAGACGCGGAGCGGCTTGACCCGATTCCTGGTCCTCCTATGCGGCGTGTCTTTCACCGGCTGGATCGGCCCGCGTCCTCAGCCATGCGGACTGCTGCTCGACAACATCTGATTCCGTTGCGTAAGGTGGCGGTGAGAGACCGGGTGCTCCGGGACCGGTGGTCGTCGGCCTTGGACGAGGCGCACGTGGTCTCGCGGCCGGGTCTGCACCTGTCTAAAACGGGTGGGGAGCCGCCGAAGGACGTGAACACACCGCGCACAGGCCGGAGATAGGTGGCCCGAAGAAAGGCAATGCCGGAAATAAACCGACCGGTGCCGTTGACCCGCGGACAGAAACCCGCGGCGAACGAGCCGAGAACGATCCGAAGAGGCCCGGAAAACCCGAGGAAGCCGAGAGTCCGGGAGCACCAAGCACGGACGACGGCCGGTTTCTAGGAGAACGAGACGCTAGGGGACCACGAGGCCGAGAGGTACCCGCGATAACGGTACCACGGGGAACTTTCATTGGGGGCCGCCGAGAGGGGGGCAGGTGATCCGGTCCCGGAGCACAGATTCCACCTCCGAGTGCACCGAGTGCAGCGGCGCGCCAGCATGCTGCGAGTCCTGCTGCTCCCTTTCGATCCTCGGGATCTGACAAGCTGGAAATCAGGTCACGTCGGCACGTCGGTGCATCCGCGCTCGCGCAGATCCTCTTCCCCGAACACCGGATCAGAAGTTCGAGAGATGTTCCACGACGGCTAAGACCACGCCGAAACGGCAGAGAGAATCCGGGAGGAGGAGATTACGGAAGATCTCCGCAGTCTCTCGCCGATGCACTTTGCACCGTCACCTTGCGGCATTCACTGACGACGATGCACCGGCTACGCTCAGCCTCGCTCTCGCCTCCTGTCCTCTTCTAGCGTGGACCACGTACGCTTCTCTCGAACCCGTCTACGCTCCCTCGATGAAATCGGTCAGTCCCACGAATAGGGCACGGGGAGAGCAAGAGAGAGAGAGAGAGAGAGAGAGAGAGAGAGAGAGGAAGAGAGAGAGAGGAAGAGAGAGAGATCGGAGGACAGAGAGAGCGTGAGGCGGAAACGGCGAAGGGAGGAGGAGGAGCAGCAGCAGCACCGGAAATGCAACGCGCGTGTATGAGCCGCCGTACGAACGATCACGACGCTCGCCGAGGACTGCCGAGCCGATTCGCGACGACGGTGCCGTCGCTGCGGCTGCTCCAAGAGATCCAATGGAAACGGAGACGTCCAGTGGCGCCGGAGCGCCGCGACGCCCTCGGACGTCGTCGGACGCCGATGCCGGTGCCGCCGTAACGGCCGAGTTTCGCGCCCGCCTACTCTCTCTCTCACCCCCGGTCGATAGAAAAACACCCTCCCGCTCGCGCTACGGCCACCACCCCGACCCGCTTTCGCCAACACGTTCTGCCAGATCTTTCTTTCTACGAGAAAACGCGACCCTTCGGAATTCCTTTCCGCAACTTCCAAGATCGTCCCCTTCGGGGATGGACGTGTTCGTCTTCGACGCGTTCTCAACCCGGTATCATTGATTTCTCGGCTACGCAACTCGGCTACACAACTGTACAGAGCCCGCTGCGATCTTTCGGTATTCCGAAACTTTGTAAACAGTCCTTCGGGGGTGAGAGCTTTGTCTACGACGCGTTTTCAACCCGGTTTCATTGATTTTTGACCGAGCATCCCCTCCTGGCTGTTCGGACTCTCTTTCTTTCTCCCTTCGTGCAACTTCGAAGATCACCGATCAGGCTCGATCCTTCATCTGCGACAATGTATGTTCAGACCCGCTGCGCCCCTATTTCATCGATCAGTGGATAAGAGAATTCGTAGACCCTTCGCGATCGCTGTGCCAGCAGACAGCCCTTCGAAGTTCCTACGCGCAACTTTGGAGATGTGATCGCCCTTCGTAGCTCGACCGTTCTCTCCCCTATGCATTTTCAACCCCGTTAAATTGATTATTGGCTCAAACTTTGCGGCAGTTTCGCTGGATCTAGATTTTGCACGACACCGTCGACGATGCTTGGGGATCGTTCGCTTTGATCAACTTTCCGTTTGATTAACCGCCGGACCGAGGTTAGCAGGTCACGTTAATCCGGTGTATTTAATCCGATGCCAGAAGAAATCAATCTCGAAAATAACGCGTCCGATACATTGTTACGTCTACCAAAAGAATGCTCCGTGTGGAAACACGTCTTGAAAGATTAACGAACAAAGCTGAGAACGATCGTAAACATTCTGAAATTGTACAGCTACGAAAATGGTCCATAGTTCGGTACGGCAGTGTCTCGGATGAGGCTCCTCCTACAGGCGACAAAGGCCGAAGACGCGTGCGTGCACTTCCCGAGAACGAAATAAATTGATCCGGAGGACGGCGTGGGGGGAGGGGGTGCTGCTAATGGGGTGGCCACCCCTGGCAGCGACCTTCGAGAACGAGCCAGGGGAGTCGACATAGCAATGTCCGCGGATCAATCGCGTTTAGAAGACTCCTATCTCGTGACCCTGATAACGTCCAGTCGACGAATCCGCGGAGGGGGTAGTCAGCTGACGGGGGAGAGTTTAGGGTTGGCCGTGCAGAAGCAGCTTCGCTATTCAGACCGCTACCCGGCGCAAACTGTGCTCGCTAATTTCGAATCGGCTTTTCTTGGGATTAACGGAGGTAATAAGGATACGAATCATTAAGAGACGCCGCGTGGCCGGCAATTAGCCGCCGCGGGGCTGATTTATAGTCCGTGGATTATATAAGCTAATGATCCCCGGGATATGAACATTGCGGTTTTCGAGTTCGACGAACCTATCGATCGCGGTAATTTTCCACTCCTCTGTCCTTTCGCCACCCTTGCGGAATCTCTTTTTTTGACCCTCGGTGTCCAAAGTTTTTTTAACACATTCCGTGATATTGTGGTTTCCACGTATAACGCAAGTCTTGATACAATTTGTCGACGAGAGCAAGGAATCTACTCGTCTTAATGTCAGAATCGATTAGAAAAGAATCTACGCAAACGATAAAAAAGTTTCGAAAGAGTTTCGTAGGATGTAAACGAAATCGCCGAACGAAGCCCCGAATGCAGTTGCGTCGAACGCGCAAAAGTGCAAGTCCTCGCGGAACACACGACCGCCCGGTTTGCCGACCTTTGTGGTCCGGTGTTTTTCCCGTTGATAAAAACGCGTGGCATGCGGTCGAGCATAATTCGATATCGCAAAATCGGCCGGCATCATGTTTGCCGAAGCCCTGCTCCATTCTCCGCAAGGTCCGCCCGTCGCCGCTACCACTCTGCGCAGCAGCCTTTCTTCCTTCCTCTCCGTTCGTCTTGGAGAGTACTATATCTTACTACAGGCTGGCAAGTACAATGAGTGCTTTGCGAAACGGGCACAACATTCTCACGATCGAAATGCGGTTGAAAGAAAAAGTCCTGTCGCTGGACAAGGAAACGCCGGGCGACCTTGGGCGCGAGAACGAGTCTGTCTTTCAAATTTAGAGACTGCTTTCTGAGCCGAAGGCAACTTTGCATCTTTCTTTCGTTAGTAATGCGAAGACCGATAGATTAAGCGCGAAGCACCCTAAAAGATTCACGAAAATACAGTGTATAAAAGAAAAAGCAATGGCCTTAAATGCGGACGGTTCGCTACAGCTTAGCATTTCGATTGATCCAATCCAGTGGATCGTATAAAAAGAGATGAGCTACTTACTCGAGGTGTCCTTGTTAGGCCCGGTGCTGAGGTCGCTCATGGAGCTGCGAACGGAACTCCTCGCGGTCTCCTCGGTCGGCGACTTCATGTCTTGGCGACCCCTCAGTCTCCTGCAGACCAGAGAAATCATAAGTAACCGGTCGCATGGGATCATCGCCGATCAATCAACGATTTACCTTTTATCCTTATTATTGTTCGCATCGCCGGCTTTCTTCTGCTTGGTGACAGGGGGCGGAATTTGGCCGATGCTCTGCAGGACCCTCGACTTTACCTCTTTCCTCGGTGGCCTGGTTCTCTGCTCGTTCTTCCCGGCCTCTATCTTGCTCATCACGGCGTCCCAGCGGCCTCCATTCTTTCTGGAGGATCTCTGCGATCGCCTCGCCTCCTTCTCGCTTTCGTCCTTCGGTCCGGACTCGATCATCGCCTTGATCTTCGACACGACGTTTCTCTTCGGCATTTTGTACTTCTTTAGAGGAACCGCGTCCGACTTATTATTCTGCGACTTCGCCGACGATCTCAGGTTGTCGTTGTTCCTCTTCACCTCGATCACAGTCACCTCCGGCGTGTGCACCGACCCGCTGGAGTCGCCAGACGTTTCCAACGGAGTTACCGGCACCTGGACATTGTCGACCAACGTTAATCATCGTTCGCAAGTAATAGGAGATTCGTCTAACAGCGGACATTGCTTCGATAAACGATTGAAACGCGACGGAAGCTGGCAAAGCCATTTTACAGGACAATAAGTTTGCACAATTTTGTACAGGACGGACACTGTTTTGTTAAACAATCGAAACGAGAGGAAAAAGCTAACGTACGCTCGTTTTACAGCATTTAGAAACCTGTCTAACTTTGTACAATGAAAATGCTATGTGTCCGTTGCTAGGCAAACCTAAAAGCTTAAGAGTTTAACCCTAATATCTCGCGAGACAACGTTGATCGTCGCTACTACAGCTGGAGGACTCGCCTGCAGCAGATCAATGATAACGTCGGGTTTCACGGGAGAAGGCTGGCTCCTCTGAGAGACTTCGGTGTCCATGGTGTCAGGGGTGCGATCCTCGTTCTCCTCAGGAGTCTCTTCAGGAGCGTGCAGCTCGTCCTGTCGCTTGTCGAGGTCCGAGTAAATTCCGCTGGAGTCCATCTCTTCGCCAGTGAAGCTGGGACATCTCCGTCCACCTGGCGCGCAGAACAGGGTCCCATCGATCACCTGAGCCTTCCTATCCCCACGCACGATCTCTTCGTAGGCGTCCGCGTCGCTCTCCGTGAAGAAGTCCGAATCGGTCATGGGATCTTGTCTGCAGGGCGCTGGCAGATTCGCCGGGGGTGCGACAGACGGTGGATCGGCTCCACGGCTCGCTGGCCGCGAGTTCTCACCGTCACCCTGATAGCCGGCCTCCAAGCTGGTGATGCTGGTCACCGATGTGACGAAACTGATGGGATCGGAAGCTCTGACTGGCTCCGGAGGCTTCGGATCGAGAGGAAGCTCTTCCGGCGATGGTGTAGAGGCGGACGCGCGCGTCAACGCCAGTCTCGAGGCCGCTGAGCCCGACAGGTTCTCGCAGGATGGTGTCCTGGAGCACTCCAACGCGACCGTGAAGTCGGTCATCTGGTCCGGGGTTAGGATACCGAGGCTCTCGTCGTGCTCGAACGAGTTCTGCTTGTTCAACATCAAATAGTGCGGTGTCCCTGTCGGCACATTGTCGTTGTACGACCCCGTAGACGCGTCCAGCAGGCAGCTCTCAGCGGCGTCCTCGATCATATTCAGCTGAGAGTTCTCGAGCAAGCTGAAAAGCAAGTCAAACGTCAGGCTACATTCTGGAAATGGTCGTACAAATACAATAGATTCATCCCTTACCTGGTACAATGATTTTCACAAAGATGACTGGTATATTGGGATTGTGATACATGAGAGAATAGAAAATAGTTTCAATGCTGGGATCATTCACGGTCCCAGAATACCAGTTGAGGGTTAATGATGCAATTACATATAATAAAATCGACGATACAAATGGAATATAAGGGATAGAATCTAATTAAATAGTTCCTCTTAAATGGGAGAGCCGCTTGGGACAAAATAACCTAGACCCTAGGCTCCAAATTGGCCTATAAAAACAGAGGGATTTCAGGTATCAGATATCAAGCTATCAGATGTCCATTGTTAGCACGATTAACAGGTTGTAAACCATAATTTTCGGCAGACATTGCTGCTATTAAGGCGAAAACGAAACCACGCGGTGTCCAAGGATCACATAGTCAGGGCCCTAAGCGGCATGCGGAACACGCGTTCTACCTGAAAAAGTTGCTCTTCTCCTCGGTGAAGTGAACCAACTGTTGCACGTCATCTTTCTCGATGTCCCAGACTGGCGATATCGTGAACGTCTTGTTTCTCGGATCTGCCAATGAAAAGTTTCCAATTAGTTTCATTCCCGGTCGCATTCCCCGCTCGAATAAAACAATTAATCGGTAAAAAGTGCGCTGGAATCTCTGTCAGCTAGACCTTGTTACATTCGCTGTCTTGCTGGCGTTCTCCTTTCATAGGGTTCTCCCTGACTTTTGCTATTTTCGTTCTCTCTAAAGCAATTAATTCAGGGAGAGCCCTGGAACTACCCGGAGGTCTTTCGCAATTTCCAGGAGAATTAGCCTTCGACCAAGTTGACCCAGAAAGTTGTGTACCTTCGATCGGCGGGGACGATACCGTTCCCAGCGGACCGCGCTTAATTTTGGGAGTGGCGGGCTCGGTGTCCGCATCAACGAACTGCAAACATCCTGGCAGGATCGGGGAGCGTCGGTGACCCGGTACCAGCGTCGAGGCGCCCAACAACCTTGACTTTAGGAAGAAGGAGGGCCGGGTCGCCCTTGGAACTGGTATCCGACTCTCCCCTACGTTCTGCAATCAAAGAGAAACGAGGAATGATGAGTATGCGCTCGCTCTTCAAGACGCTGACGAATTCCTCCATTAATCTCCTAATCAGTGCCCCCGAGCTACCAGCGCTGATCCAACTGATCCAGATTCTAGACGCGAACTCTTAGAATCAGGATCGTCGGATCCCTCCCGCAGAATGCTCGCTAGTTAAAAAGCGGTTTGCTTTTTTCTTTTCAAGGTCGAAGCGCAACGCTTGACCCGTAAATCCGCGAGAAGAGTCCGTTGCCCTTGGCCCATCTCCAAATAAAACCCTTCGGCCCGAGGTGAATCAGAAGTGTCTCTCTGGTAGTCGGCTAACTTAATTTTAGCCAGCCTGACTTCTCGTCGCTACCTTTAAACGACGCGCCATCGTGAGCTTGCTTCCTCGCTCGCTCTTTCTCGCTGTCCGTTTTTTTTTTCGCGAAGTAAGAACACGCGTAACAAGGAGACCCTTCGCAACCATTCCGACGACAAACGTTGCCGTTTCGCACCTGCTTGCCTGCGGACCGCTGACGACGACCGATCGACAACCTCGAACCCGGTCAAACATCATCGTCGCAATGGCTTCCCCCTCCCCTGTTAACCCTTTGCATTCGACCGGTGACTAGAAAGTGTTACTATCAGGTTTCGAAATAACGTCTGCGTTATCAAATTTGTTTACATTTAAAAAGCTCGCGCGAGTTACGAGAGATCCCACGATCTCATTGCAGGGTTCACGCCGTTGCGGAAAAAAAAATCACACTCGCACGGACAAGAGTTTGGACCGTTGCCTAGGTTGGCCAATTTACAACAGCCAGACTGTTAGACGATCACAGTACCCCCGGTAATAACATTGTAATATTCTTCGCCGACGAATAAGATTGTGTCGAGACTGCGGAACTTTACGTAGAACTGAAATAGTTGTTCCGGTTCAAGGCATGGTTGTTCGGTTGTGTCGAGTTGTCGATTGAAAATCTCACGAAACTGGATCGATGTTCCCGGGCTCGTTCGGACAGGCGAGCGTGTCGCAAGCGCATAAAATCCGCTGTCTAATCGCGAGAAACGCGCCCGTCCTTCGCGGAGCACAGTTGCACATTGTACTTTGAACAATGAGCGCACTCGTCGCACTCTTTACACACAGGTGTTTCGGACCTTGTGATCTCGTTTCGATTATTATGCGCAACGGAATACATAGTTCGTCGCGGCGTTCTTTTTCACACGTCTCCGAAATAATTGGCACCGTAAACAATGAGTCGTGTCTCAAATCCGACTGTACGTTCGAGCAAGTCGTTTTTCTTCGCGAATGCGGAGAATCGACAAGCGACGAAATTAACAGAATAAAAATGAAATTCTCAGAGTATCAAATTTCATTCGCAAGACCGAAACCGGGCGGTTAAAATTTACAATGTCCGATACATTCCATTCAATCCACTTTATCATACATACATAAAATCCGCAGTCTAATCGTTCGCTGTGAAACTATGCGCGCGGCGCGAACATAATCCGTTTGACACAGGTCAGCCGGCGTCCCGCCCACGCACCGCCGGCCACTCGAGAAGCGGCTGAAGAATTTTCTCGGCGTTGTTTCGCGGCGGAAGAAATTGCATTCGAATCAATCGATAGCCGCGGAATGCTCGTTATCGATCTAAGGAAATGTCAGGGTCGTCGGGCATCGACGGAGCCGATGCTGTCGCGTTAATATTGCAGACGATAGCGCGATCGGCCAGCGAATTTTCGTTTGCTCTGGTTCCACAATCCGCTTGCGAACGCTTCGCACGTTCAACGGCCAATGTTTCCAGAGACCTTTAAATTTTAAACGGCACCGTTCCGCCTCCGAGTATAATAAAGAAATCCGAAATTCTTCGATTCCCGATGCTACGGTGGTCAGCGCCTGCGATACACGGTTGACAGATGTCCGGCTCCTTTATGACGAGTTCCAGCCGTTCCCGAGCAGATCGTTTACTCCACCTTGCAATCACGGCGGCCTTTAAAATTAGCGTGCACCTGACCATTTAACTGCGCGTCATAAATATAAATGACCGAAGGGCCTCCAAAGTGACACTAAAATCACCGAGCAGGTAGCAGCTGCACTGTGCGAACGACGGCTTGCGGAACCAGAGACTGCAGACTTTGCTGAAATTTTAAATAATAGCCGAGTTCATATAATTGTACTATTATTAATGAATTGAAACGATTGAAGAGAGAATTAAATGTAAATACGGCCCTTGGGATCGATGCAAAGCACTTTTGTTTCGCATAAAGATTAATTAGCCTGCCGATCGCTGCGAACCTGAAGACGAATGTCTCCCCTCCGGAGACTGATCGACGAGAACTGCGATCAGAGAGGCAGCCTCCGCGGTTCTTCTTGGCCTAAATTCGCGAAGCAAAGTCGGCGTCCAGAATCGACAGGGGACGTCGCCGGGCAAAGGCCATAACTTGATTCCATTAGGCCTTAATTCGCGGCAATTCAAGCCGCCTACTCTCTTTGCTATCCGCTTCTCTCGTTTATCCGTTTCCACGCGAGACAAGGCAACTGTGTTAATTGCTGGCGCACGTTCGTCGCCGCCGTCGGTGCCGGCGTCTACGCTCGTTTTTTAACGCGGCCTAACGGAATCACGGCGGATCCTTGAATCCGTATACGAGTGCCGACCACGGTTCTCTGCACCGTGTTACAATGCTCGGCATTGTGGCTGGCGGCGGCGGCGCGCGGAAAACCGCTCTCGTAATCCGATTACGTTCGTCTTTCGTCGCTGCGAGCCGTGAATCCGCGTGCCCGCATTCAATCGTTGTCGTCGTCTCGCGTTCCCGATCAGCGAAACCGACGTTTCAAATTGATAAAAAGCCCCCCCGCGAAACGCTTTCTAAAACTAGAAAGACTTTCTAAACGGCTCGATCGTAAATTACAGAGCCGCGAGCGGTTCGCGGCGTCGTTCGCGAACGGTACACCTCTCGCGAACCGCCGTCCAATTTTTTCCGGTCGTTAAAATCGACACCGCGGTTCAAAGATCAAAGTCTCCCCTTTCGAACGACACCATAGACATCGATGTACGATTTTTTTTCGGCCGAATTGTCGGACTTTAACGAGGCACAAAAGTTTGATCGTACGAGCAGCGTAAAGATGGCGGTACGCCTTTGGTTGGAAGTTCGATAAAACGGTCAAAGAAAAATCGTCGGTGAAAATACAAGGATTCATCAGATAGAGAAAGCTTCCATCTTCAAATTCACGATTGATTCGACCGAGAAAAAAATTTGCTAGACGATTTACAGCAGCGAAACGAAGGGACGCGTTTCCGCGGATTTCCGTCCGAAAGTTTCACGAAAATCGGTTGCGACGGATCGCAAATATAATTTCGCAATGACGCGAGCCGCCGTTGTATCCAAGGATCGTCCGTTTGCACACGCGTTTAGCGATTTCGGTAGACCTTCGAAGCACGGAAATGTTTTTCACCGTCTGCGAGCGTGCAAACACCAGGGCCGTCCACAACGGGAGGACGTCCACGATGCCGGAGGAGGAAATGTTTCCCGAAACCGTTCACAACCAAGAGGTCTTCTCGTCGAACCAAGGCTGCCGACGTCGATCCGCAATTTACGCGAGCCGACAATGCGCGTCCACGTAAGCGAGCAGGACACGTAACGGCACGGTTACGATCCTGGCCGCATAATTCTCGTAATTATAATCGACGCGATTAACTACCGACCGATTTGCAATTTCTTCCGCGAGTGTCACGGCCCATTGAGACCTCGCGGGACTGTGGAATTAAAAGCGAAGCCTGTTACCCGAGTCCGGACTTAATCTATAATCGAACGATCGACAAGGACCGATGGATCTTTCCATCGGCGGATTTACGTAACTTCATTACGATAAAACGCATACGTTTTTCCCAATAGTGCTCCGACGACCGTTTCACAGCCACGACCGAATATTATCGTCGCCGCGGATTATACTAAACATTCCTCACCGATATCAACAAGTATCCACGCCGAAGGCCGCCTCGCGATATTCAACACCGACTCGTTTCCACTAGATTTTCGTGCAACCACGACGACAGACGTTCCCGCAGCAACTTGTTTCTTCGCGAGGCACACACAAACTGTCGTTCCACCGGACTGTTCAAATTCTCCCTTGAATCACCCGTGGATATTGTGCGCACGCAGAAGTCGCACGACATTGGGGAATCCGGCGGAGTAATAAACAATTTGTCGGGTCATGAACGATCGCGTTCTGTTTACATGACGTCCGACTTCGACCGATTACAATCACCAAAACAAATGATTGAACGCAATAGGATATACATAAACGCTATTTGAAACGTAGAAACGAGTCAAGCGGAATTCTCGATAATTTAGCCACGTGCCTACGACTCTAACTAAGTAACGCGCACATGATTTACATTAATTTCACAGAACGCGACGACGTATAGTATATTCGGAAACCGGGTTCCGGACGCACCTGCGAACCAGTATCGCTAAACAAATCGATCGTCGTTGAACCAGCGAGGTCAGGTTTCGCGGTTCGAACAGGTCTCGATAAGATTACGACGCGAAGGTCCCTATAGACATTAAATAAATCTAATGGTAGAGGCAGCATTCGCCTAACCGCGGCGCGGGTGCGAAGATAGTAGCTTGCGTAACCGTTCACAATCGCGAATCGACCGGGAAACGGGATCGTTCGGTCGGCGAAAACAAAAGCGAGAACGCGGACAATCTCTCACCGTGGCCGTTCCTGGCGGGTCAGGCTAGCTTGGCGTGTAATCCATCGGTCATAATTCGATCCCCGGGACACGGCAGCGGTACGCGCGGCGCGGAAACTCTGGTCCGCTTCGACTATTAATAAATTCGCACTCGTGAGTCAGCCGGTGTGGATTCACCCCGTTCCTCGATCCTACGGGGTTCGTCAATCCTAGGCGGATCCTAGGGGATTCCGCGGGTATCCGGAGAGCGGATTTTCGTGCCGCGGTTCGCCGGGAACGGTACTTCGAAGCCGCGACTCGCGACTGACTGCGAGC